CCGTATGAGTATACGTTGCCCAGGGTGCACCATGTGGAGGTAAGTCTATCGCACAACCCGCATTTATAAAATATATAGACTCGAAGCCGCGCTAATAGCCACAATGAACTGAAATTTAGGCAACAAAGGAATAAGTAAACTTCTCATTTTTTCCCTCTTATAACAAAAAACGTTCAACGATGTAGTGCAATTTACCAGTAATGTAAATTTAAAAAAAATAATACTGGTTTAGTGAGCATTTAATTGTGTTGCTTTGACGAACTTGACAAAACTAATAATTTTAATCTGATCATTCAATTGAGTCTTTTAAGCTATGCTTTGTAATTAGCTTCAATGAACGACCCCAAGTTTTAATCAAGTTAATGCTATTATATTTCGATTTTAAATTCAGTTTCAACATGTATCTCTGTTTGCAATTAGTGTTAGTGCTGAATCTTCTCATTTCCGATTTCAATACCTTAAAACACCACATCAGATGGTTGATTTTTAGAAATAAGCAGTGACTGTTTGAGTTGAGGCGGATTACGAACATTTTATATTAGTAGTTATCGTTGACGATATCTCTAGTAAGAGCTGGGGGTTCAGTGAACACCACTGAATGGTTGATATTCTTTCCGTTCTTACTTTTATATATACCTAGACGATAACGAAAAAAGAACACTTTTAGAAGTGTCCGACTAATTTGATTTTAATTTCCTATAATGTATGTGGGTTTCAATTGAAGATCTTATTCATTCGAAATGCAATGATTTAAACTATTTAAAGTGATAAGATATCTGCTCAAGACAATATTCATCAAATTCTTATGATATTTAAACACGCATGAAATGCTATTTGGGAAAAGAATTCAAGAAAATCAAAATTTTGATTAATGTATTTTCATAAGTTGTGACAAGTACGCAAATAAAAATTTCAGCAAAAGGAATCAAAAATAGACATAAATGAGAAAATTTCAATCGCTTCAGGCTCATTTTATCAAATACTACAATAAATACCAAGTTTAGTTGTATGAATTGCATAGAAACAAAGAGGGAGAGTATAACGCAAATACATATTCACGTATTATATCTTGGTTTTAGAATTCAAATTACTTTTATTAAGTGTATTTTTAAAACTTTTCTAAATGCTTGGAATTGCATAATAACATAGCTGCGAAAATTTGTTAATATATAGCAGTAAAGCCGGTTTGTGAACATTGTGCTCAATTGAAAATGTCTTATTGTTTTTTTTCACAGCGCCTCATTTCTATAAAATTACTGCGAGTTAACGAACTATTATTACTTTTTTGCTGCAATATAATTTTTTACTTGAATATCTTAATTGGTCTTTTGCTTTTTTTCATGTTGATTCGATAACAATCTGTTTAAAATCACTTAAATCAGATTTTCTATCAAGGATCTACAACAGGAGAACTATGCGCTTAAGTTGCGCATTCATAATTTGGAATCTATGGAGAAAGAATATCAAGAAGAAATAGAGGAACTCAGAAAAGAAGTTTGTGAATTGAAGCTTGCATTGACGGAACGTCCATTGGATCACCGTGAAAGTGCTATAAACTTTATTCAAGATCTTAATCTGTCTACCACGGACATGGTTCAGCAAATCGGTCAGCTACAGCAGCAACTTGAACTATGTAAACATGATTTGGAAGTCAGTGAAAAGAAAGTATCTGACTTAAAGTCCGAAAATTCCCAATTACGGGAGAGAATTGACATATTGGAAGTTTCAAAAGACAATGTAAGTGAAATATTGTTTTTATAATTCATATTTAATGCTTCCTTATCGCTGAACATAATGTTTTAGATGACAACAAATAATACCACTAACAATACCATAGATGAACTTGTGTCTAAAATAGACAAACTCACTTTGCAGTTGATTTCTGAGCAGTCTGAAACTAAAAAATTGCATATTCTGAATTCCGAAAAGGATGAGGATTTAAATTCCGCCCGGATGAATATCAGGGAACTCGAATTAACTATCAAGGTTCGTCTAAGTTTCACTTTTTATTGTTGAGTTTACATTTTAATCCATTATGGTAGGAGTAATAACCTTTTGTTTTTGTAAATAGTTGTATTTTGGTTACGTGTGTCTGCAGAGTCATATGTCTTTTCGATGACTTGAAGCTATATCTTGATGATCTGTTTCAAGCATGAAGCTGATTGTTAATCGCTTTCTCGCAGATACTACTTTTGTGAGGTTAGCTATTGATTTTTCACTACAATTTTTTTTCTCTTTCTAACTCTCCTTCTTTTTCTTTTGGCTGTTTTTTTCTTCTTCAAATATTGTTGTCAAAGTGTTTATTATTTGCAGCGATTCAGTTGGCTTTATTTAGGTGGCCGAACAAATTATTGGATTGATTAATTCATAAATTATTTATCATTCGAGTTAATTAATACATCAGACTAGTTTAGTCATGGATTCTTTTTTTCAACCCACATTTTTGACTGCGTGAAAGCGTCTACTTTGGGTTACGTTCTCTGCCATTTTCCTCAGTGATTGGCATCGTTGAACTTGTAACCTACAATGTTGAGTAATTTTATCCACAATGGACGTTCAAAGTTCAAGTGTGTACGCACATTTGTACTCATTTTGTGCTTTCATTCCACATAAGGGCTTTGTTTTTGGTCTGTTTATTGGGTTATATCTGCCATTTAATGTATCACTCCCTTGTGTACCGGCTTACAAGTACGTAATAAGTTAATACTCCTTTAAATGTAGTCTTCTGTACACCTAACTTTGTAGGTTTCCATTCCCATTGGTTATTATTATATAAGTAAGTTCTCGTCTAGTTCTAACCCTCTTCTATGTAAGTCTATTTGGTATCTTTCTTTATTGCTGATAGAATTTGCGCGAAGAAATAGTTGAACTCAGCATGGAACGTGAAGCGTTGAAGGTACAAATTGGCTCAGTTGACAACACAAGGGGAAATTCACTCTTCTCAGAGGTATAATCTTTCCGCTTTCTTGCTTGCCCTGAAATAGCTAAAATTTTTGCTTTACTTTAGGTTGAAGACCGTAGACGAAGAGCTGAAATTCTTGTCAAGAAACAACAGGAGAAAATCGTTGAATTGGAAAATAACCTCGCTAACATACAGTCTGAAAGCCAAAAGAAAATCGTAAGTCTAGTAGAAGAGGGTAGCCAGCATATCCTGCTTCCCACCTCGTCACTGTACTACTGGCTGTACTAAATTTCATCACGAAATTTCGAGAAGGCAAGATAATAATAAACAGTGGCCATTGGCAATGGCCCAGAAAGTCCGGACGTGTTTAGACCGCCCCTCGTCGGCAAACAGATCTAGGATAAATTACTCAATAGTCTGCTAAAAGTTTTTACCATTCTCATTTAAACGCTCCAATTTCCTCAAATTGCATGTCATCTCATAATCTTCAGGTCATGTGATGGTATTCATAAGGTAGATATGAGTCCATATCCTATCCTAGTTGCAGCTATTTCTTATTATCTGTTACTTCTGTTCCCAGTTATTTTAGTTCTAACCAATTGTCTAAACGAATCAAGCGGCTTTTAACTGAATGAGGACTTCATTTTTTGGATATCATCTCAATTTATGGGCAAATTAGATGATGGGATTGATTGGATCATTAGAAATATTTTAGCATAGCAACGTCATGAAGGAACGGTAATGGGTGCATTTATCACCCTAGGATTAAATTTCTTTATAACCATCAAATGCTTCAAGCTAATATTTCATTTAATGAACTAAAAGCTGAGAAGACACAAGTATGTTGGTATTAATACCTTATAAGTTGTTTTTAGGTAAGCTTATTAGTCCATTTAACCTCGATTTCCCAGTGTGTTATTACGGTCAAGAATTGGATTACTTATTAGTCGCATATGCTGTCTTTGTAATCAACATGCACTAAAATGCTATGTTCTGTAACATTTCATTTTGTGTCTCTTAGCTTCAACTCCAACGGGAACTAGACTCGAATGTGACAAAGGCATACAAGGAGTATATCGTCAAGCTCTATACTGAAATTACTCGACTTACTTCAGAGGTGGCTCGACTCGAATCAGTTGAAAATTGTTTGCGCGATGAGCACGTAGGTTCTTTCTTTCTATCTTGCCCTAACACTTATCATTATTCTCTCACCTACTCAGTCATCCTTTAAAAACAGCTACTTACTACCCAGACCTCAGAAGAAAGGAGAAAAATTTTGGCTCTAATGAGAAAATAAACTTGCCTTTGAATATATATGAGAATTGGTTGATGAATAATTGTCCTTCTGGTTAACCGATAAGTACGGCTTCAACTTCTCCACAGGTAGTGGTCCAGTTGTGGGCATTCGAAGAGACTTGTTTCTTGATTTCATCGGAAGTAGTTGATTGCGAATCTTAACAATTATAGAACAATATGCAAATGTCCTAGAGACAGTGAGTCTTAATGTTGAATGCGCATATGTAATATTTAAGGTTACGGGGTGTGTGATAGACTTACCTCCACGTGGTGCACCCTGGTCAACGTATACTCATACGGCAAAAAAGTCTATTATTCGGCAGTTGACTTCCGACTTCAAAACACCATCACCTCACTGTATGTCATATTCGAATACTTCCACAGTACTCACCTCATCTTTTTCACTCTACCTTTGTGTCTCTCTTTTACATCTTTGAAATACTCTTCTGTTCCCATCCCCTCCCCCTCTCGACTTTTTTTCACCTTGATGTTCCTTCTTCTCTGTGAAGCCTGAAGTCAACTAAAGGGCTTATGATAACTATCAAAATGCCTGTCATTTGATATAAATAAATAAATTTTTAAGGTTACTAGTTGTTGCGTTTAATGGTAATTTGTTCTCAAGGTCAATTAAGAAATCATTTCCCAACGCTCATTTTGTACAGAGCCGAACCACCACCAAGAAGCTTCTTTGGTGAGAAAATCGAATTCCTCTTCCTTTATTAGTCGGAGCTATTTGGTGTGGTTGACCATTCCCCTCATTGTGCGTCCACCTGTAGCATTTTAATTTTTGCCTTCTGAATTCTGAGCCAAGCACTTTAACTAGTGCTAATTTAATTGTTTCCCATAGGCCGATTTTAGTGACCACGGCGCTGAACGCTTGGGAAAACCCAAATCCCTCCTATTTTTTATACCACCATCTTAAACTGAAGATTTTCTAAGTCTGACTGGCCTCTCCATCTAGGGATCGCAATGAAATTTCGAGTCAAATTTCTAATGTTTCATCTCATTTGATCAGTAAATTTTTTGTCTCAACAACTGTGTCGTGATGAATTGGGATCTTTTTCATACGAAGCAACTGCAGTTAGTACTCAATTACTGGTGCATAGTTTCAAAAGATAAAATTTAATTATTTAATCTACTTTTTCTGCCTTCTTATATAAATTTGTTTATTTTCTAATAGGGATTTACTGGTGTTGTTTCTTTGCAGGTTGGAAAGATCGGAGAAAAGGAACGAATGTCTGCTGCTTTTGGACGTGACACTTTCAACCAGCAAAATCTCGTTAATGCTCTTAAGTGAGTTATTATGTGGACTTAAAAAGAGATTAGTTTAGTTAATTTACTAATACGAATGAAATGTATTCTTCAAATTATTGGGTTGGCCGTTGGGTTGCTGTTTTTGTTGACGGATTCACTCTATACTTTCTTTTGTTTTGTTAACGTGGCCAGAGCATCTAACCTATATTTTTCTCTTACTGTATGGGCTTCTAGGTTAATTAGTTAAAATTTTTTTGTTTAGTTCTTTAGTTTTGTTTTTATCCCAATTTAAAAATTAAAGAACAGGACGTGCACTTCCGACACATTTTATTGTATTACTTCCGAAAAGGCAAGAACGCATCGCAAGCACAAAAGAAGTTATGTGCCGTATATGGAGATGAAGCCTTAAAAGAAAGTCAGTGTCGAAATTGGTTTGAAAGATTTCGTTGCGGTGATTTTTCACTGAAAAATTCACAACGATCTGGCCACCCAGTCGAAGTGGATGAAACCCATATCAAGGCCATTATCGATTCAAATCGTCACAGCACAACACGAGATATTGCAGAGAAGCTGCTCAATGTGTCGCATACATGCATTGAAAAAAAAAAATGAAAAACCCTTGGTTATGTCAAGAAACTTGATTTATGGATCCCTCACCAGTTGAAGGAAATTCATTTGACGCAACGGATTAGCATCTGTGATTCGCCGCTACTGAAACGCAATGAGAATGATCCATTTCTGAAGAACCTAGTTACTTACTGGCGACGAAAAGTGGATAGTTTATAACAATGTTACTCGCATGGGTGTTCATGGGTGAAGCAAGATCAACCAGCCCAAACAGTATCAAAAGCAGAGATTCACCAAAAAAAGATTATGCTGTCAGTCTGGTGGGGGGATCACAAAGGAATTTTGTATTTTGAACTCATGCCGCAGAACCAAACGATAAATTCAAATGTGTATGTTGAAGAACTCGAAAAACTGAAGGATGCAATTGAAGATAAGCGCCGGCATTATCAAATCGGCGGAAGGGTGTTGTTTTCCATCATGATAACGCAAGGCCCCCGCACACATCTTTGGTTACTCGGCAAAAATTATTGCAACTGGGTTGGGATGTTTTGTCACACCCACCATATAGCCCTGACCTTGCGCCTTCGGATTACTATTTGTTTCGTTCCATCCAAAACTCTTTAAATGGTAAAATTTGTAACAACGCGGATGATGTCGGATCACACCTAATTCAGTTTTATAATAGCAAAGACCAGACATTTTACGAACGGGGAATTTTTACTCTGCCAGAACGATGGAAAAAGGTCATCGACAAGAAGGGCCAATATCTAATTGAATAAAGTTATATTTTTAAACAAAAATTCCGAATTCGCCTTCTTATTTGAAATCGGCAATGACTTAGTTGCCAACCTAATATTTTTACTTACATGCAGATATTTGAGTCCTTGGGGCTGAGACCCAATGAATCTGCTTCAAGGGAGCTCATGGTTGAATGTTTTCCCTGTTCTGAACAATCGAAGATTTCTTCAGAGTCGGGTTTTCCCTTCTCATATATGAGAATTACGCTTCCTGTTACTACATTAGTAGTTATCTAACATCATTCCTATAATCCACTGCTACTCTGAAAGGCGGCGTAGCCTCGCATTTCATAATGACAGCTTGGACTGTGTAAAATAAATATGTTCACTTTCTTTGCAGGGAACGAATTATAGCCTACAAATGTGCAGCAGACAAGGCCAAATGTGAGGCGGTGGAAATGCGTGAGCAACTCATGTCCGAATATCGCGCCCATTATGACGTGAATCTAGAATTAGCCTACCAACGTTCGCTAGTCAAGAGTCTAAATCAGGAGCTTCAAATGATTAAATTAGCAGCAAGTAATAATAAAGGCAAGTGCATTCTCTCTTCTTTCAAGGTTATCTATACGAGCTGTGTGCTGGTATAGAAGTCTGATGTTCATATTAGAGTTTAAGTATATAGGTTCGCTTTTATAATTGTACCCACTCAATACGATGGAAGGGTGATGGATTTGTGCCAGGCATGATTAATTTAGGGGGAAAAACTGGTATTTTGAAATAGGGAATAGCTAGGTTGATTAACTTGTTGAACATGTAGTTTTGCTCTTCATTTCAGTTCTCAAATCAACATGAATTGTGATACACCCTGCCATATTAAGTCTCTTTTGTGCCTAAAGTGAATAGCATTAATCATCTACCCCTATGGCTTGAGGTGGCTTAATGTGTTATCACCTCTCTACTTACGGGTAATCGCTCGGTCTAGAAGCAGGAGAAAGCTCTAATTTTGCGCTGTAACGTAACTAGTTTCAGAGTGAGGCATGAAAATGCTCACGACAGTAGCGAGTACTTATTTTGAGCTTAGATCAGATTAATGTCACTTATTGCAGATGAGGTTGAAGCATAATTTTGTCAATAAGAGGAGCAGTAGAATGTGTGTGTTTCTAGTAAGACTTACCTCTGCTCAGAACAATTATTTTTGCTTCCCTTGTTGTAATCTGCCTTATGCATTAAATGATGCTTTTTTTATTGCACAGAAAATCAGGCGGATATTGAATCACCTTTTGAAGTGAATATCTATTCTTCTTCTCCAACTAAAGATGAGGTGATAAAAGAGAGGACTTCTGCAGAGCAACCCCAGGAAAAGCTATGCGAGGAAGATAGAGTCGAATGCAATCAGTCGTGATCTTGAAGTCAACATTTTCTACCTTATCTTGTGTTTGCAAATACATTGTTCCATTATTATTGACGAACTAGGGAAATATTTTAACTTAGAAAAGGGAGAATACTGAACTTTTAATTAAGAAGGGGGGTTAGATATGCAATCTCTGCGCATTTATAACCTCTACTGACCAAAAGCATCTTGCTCTCTTGGAGCATTCTCGATTTTTCTTAGTACCGACGTCAGTCCTCATATTACTGTTAGTACTCGATGACTCCAAGTTTCAGGGTATGTCATGGTTTCTGCATTTATTATCAGGCACCCTTAATACTATTGTGTAACGTTCCTAAATTGGAAGATTTCAATTTACTTTAAGTGTCAATTGTAGATTGTTTCATCTAATTAGCTACTACTTAGTGTTACATGTAGTTGTCGCATTCTCATTAATCCGTGTTCTTAAATATTTAAATGAGAATAAATTTGGTAGTCTCCGTAAGGATGCATCGCTTCTATTTTATCGCATTTAGAGTTATCGTTAATGTAAATTGCGATAAGTAGACTCGCTACATCTCTAGACCACTGCACAAATTAGTGGGGTTTCCCACAAAAGAGTGATGATTTATTGACGCAGTCGGTGGTTTCGTAACTACGAGTGGTTAATGAAATAGCGATTTTTGGTTGGCACTGCTTGAAAAGAGAAATCTAGCACGGCTTATTACCAGCAGCGAGTATAGAGGAGATCTGATAATAATTCAGTGCGTGGGGGGCTACGATTAGGTTTCACCCGGGTGAGTCAAAACAAAAGGCCCAATTTCTCAGCTCACGAAACGCTACCTCAAGTCTAAGTGCGATTGGTCCCACTACAAAATAGAAGCTATTTATCAATTATAATTTGTGCGGTAATGGCAGCAATTCAAAATAGAGGAGATCAAATTAATGTCCTTGAGGTGCTTTCTTTGTCTTTGAAGAGATAGATTGATCATTTAGCGGTATCGTTTCAAGAATATTCAGCTCACGTAAACACTGGATATTCTAAAAAATTTAGGAAAAAAATCAATAGTAAAATTTAATACTTCAAGATTGCTCATGTTCGTCAAAGTTAAAAACTGGCGAGGAGTATTAACTGTAGTATATTAAGTAAACTGTCTACAGGGTACAATTTTAACACGCTTTCATGTGTTTCCAATATCTCATTTTATACCAGAAAGATAAATATTGGGATCAAGAATGTGCGCTAATTTACCATCTTGCTTTATCCTTTCATGTAATTCGAGTGACCGTTTCTGTATTTTTCAAATTCCGATGAAAAAAATGTATTTTGTTGATCGACTTATGATTCGGAATAAATTTTGTCATAATTTCTAAGGAGTTATTATAGCTAGACATTAAAATAGGGATAGAGCAGGACGTTCCTACTATAAATCAAATAAGAAGTTACTTACATGTTCGGTCAGTGGTATTTCCAGCGGTCGGTCACTCATATCGCTTCTAAACTTGTTGAATCTGGACTCAAACTTGTCCACTTCTAAAAGAAGATCGCTCACTACATTGGATTCTAAAATGGTCTGAAAAAATGCAAAGAGTAAAATAAGGGTACCATACTTCATTAGACGATTCACTGATAAGATCTTCCGTTCTTCTCAGAAGATTGTTTGCCTCACTGAGTTGTTGCAATAGGGCCAACTCAACATCTTCTCTATGGCCTTGCATGTTATCTAATATTTGCATCAGTTTTGCCTGGTGCTGCGACAAATTTGACTCCGTAATTTTCGTAAACTCGTCAATATGAATTTCAATCTCAGAAAGTCTTTTACGGTAGCCATCTAACTCACTCATCCTTTGTGGTGCTTTTTCTTTAAACCAATTTTCGATTTCTAGTTTCAGCTATAATTTAATAACTAAGATCGAAAAATTGGCGAGGTACCTTATTGAAATGAATACCATGGCAAGTTTCACATATATAATTGTTACAATCCGCACATTTCTTTAATTGTTCCGTTTGTTCTTTGCAATCATGGCAAGTTGATGGACAAGAGGAGAGGCCATTTATTAGTTGTCTTAGCTTTGCATCAGGTTGCACGTTATTTTTATTTGCAGGCTTGTCACAAATAGGACATTTTGGGTTTTTGTCAAGATGGTCAAGAATGCATTTTTCGCAGAAATTGTGAGCGCAAGAGAGTGATACTGCATCAGTATATCTAACAAATGGGAAAGAATGAGAACTAAGTATCGTGAAAGAGATTTTTCAACATGCCATGCATTAACATTAATTTGTTCAATTACTGAGTATAGCAAATAGTACAATCAAGGCTCTTTGGTGAGATGTATGCCATGACTTATCAAGTCAAGTCAAGCAAGTGGATAACTATGAACGATGCGTCAATGACCTTGAATATGATGTAAATCGAGACAGTTTATAATAACAAAAATAATAGTTTGAAAATCCAGATTCCTTACCTTTTATTAATTCTCGTCATTCTTACTGGAAATGAAGTAGTATAACTAGCTTTGCGTAATAATCCAACTTGACACTCTTCGCCTTCTTGTTATTTTATCATCAAATACAGGCAAATTAACCTAGCGTTTATATTTCTCTGGTTACATGGACTTTCCTTGCATTAAAGTTGATGATGTGTCATATATGCATTTAGTTATCTATTCATTTGGTTTTATTTTACTATAACAGCGGACTCAAAACTGTCATATAGATATCAGTTTTTAACATTGAGCTAAATGAAAATTTCATTGTCATGGTTAGATTGAATGAAATAACTTGATTGCCATTAATAGTTGGAAGGTTAATGGATAGATGCTTCTGTCCCCAAATGTGTGCAAGTAGCTTTAATACCCTTATTTGATTCAATTTAAGAGCAATCTGGAGTGCATACCGCGAAATGCCTTCATATTTTTTAGTAAAATAGCCAGATTTAACACCCACAAATTCTTTATAGCAATCGAATTATAATCACTGGCATTTAGATCCCAACATTCACTCTTATTGGCATTTCCTTTAAAAGCAGTGAGGCCTACTACGGTTTATCAGCAGGAGCCAGATTTATTTTCTCACAATCTCCCATTTTCGCTGTCCTTGCTTCATAAATCCCTCAATCCCACGACAGTGGTTCTCGAAACGCAATGGCATTCCAATAATAAGAAATTAAAAATGTAGAAAATGTAGACAGGAGATAAATAAAAGTTACTGTATCCACGATGTCTATTCTGAAGTGATCAGTCTCTGCGTTTCTTCAACCAAGGCACTTTAACAGGGTAATGGGCTGAGCTTGAAGTAAAGTTTAATACTTCCCGCCCAGTTTTCCGAACTTTCCTATCAATTTAGGGAACCATACATTTCTTAAGGAAAAAGGTGTGCTGTAAAGAATATTGAACCGAAAGCACGTACAGAGGCAAGAAAATTCTAAAACTTTGCTCAGTATATATGATCAAAATATGTAATACTAGAATAAATGATATCATTGTTTACAAGATAAGTGGCTAAAGTAAATAGTTAGAAGTGATTCAAAAGAAAACAAATTGAGGTAGAGAGGTCAAGCTAGATGACGAAATCGTCTCCATTCACGAAAAGAGTAAGATTACCTTTGACTGCATTCCAGTTTGAAAAGTATCGTCGGCATTCACATAAATTTTGACCCCATAGAATTGTCTGACGACATATTTTAACCCAAACTGGTTGGTTAAGAGTAAGTACAAAGGGCATATTGGTAGCACCTTTTTTTAAAAAAGATTTCGGATGATATTTTTCCAGCTTTTGACAGTATCCTCCGAAGCAAAAAAGCCGACTAAAGAGTTTATATGGATAATACAAATTACCTGCAAGAACAATTGTGAGGACCAATATTATCACAAGCTTTCATCAATTTTTCTGAAAATCGATTTTGTTGGACCTCTACAACCGTCTCAAAAGTATTAGCAGGTGGCAAAGGATCATCGCTAACATCACGTCGGCTGATCTTTCGCTTTTTAAACCGATCTTCTTCGTCATCGTCGTCCCTATCAACCTCATCAACATAGTCTTCATCTAGGTGTGTATTTGAAGAAAAATGAACACTTACAGAGCCTAACAGCTCCCATTCCTAAAATAAACAAAACGACAACTTTTTCATTCATTTTGAGAGGTTAATAAACTAGATTTCCTCTAAAAATATATTTAATTGGATATAAGCATGTGAAATGAGCGCCCTAATAGGTCCAAAAGCATAAAGTAAAGTAGTGGGTTTAAACTATTGGATATTTGGAAAATAGTTGTCTGTTCATTTAAATTATAGTTTGATTCACTAATACAATAAATTTTTCGGCTAACGACTTCACTGTTTAATAGGTAATTTTAACTCTATTGAATAAGAGAACTACGCTATTTTCATTCATTTTAATAATTTTTTCATTCAATGCTTATATATATTATTAACTTTAAACTCAGCTGTAACCATTATCTTAACGGTTGATTGGGCTTTTTAAAAATTTGGTTTAAAAGCCAGAATTCTTTTAGTGTTTCCTTTTAATCACTGTTGATTTTACTTGATAGCTAGCATAACCAGTTGGCTTTTCTTTGTTCAATATTGACCTTCGGAGACGGGCAACGAAAAGGAGTCACTAAAATTAGCAATTTTTCTTACTTTGGCCAAAAGACAGGATACTCTACTGAAACAAATGAGTAAACTCTGATTCGGTGTTCAAACCGGTTAAACGTCATCTCGCTTTATGTCACCGATGTAGTTATTAATTCCCTATTAGTAATCTAACTATTAAGTAAATCAAATAGCCGAAATAAGAATGCGAATTTAAGTATTCTTATTACAATAATATATCGGGGTGTGTGGGTATGCATTATGTGGAAATGCTTATAATTTTATTCAAAAACTCATGGAATAAAATATATGTATATATTGATATTATTAGGATCGAGAAATGAATAAATATCGGAATCATCTGCATGAACAATTTATAAGACTTCCAACACACATATAATTTTTAGTTGCAAATTTACATAGGACACATATTCTAAAATCATAAATTGGCAAAGACAGCATAAAACAATTCAGCTTCGCAAATTTTGTTCAACTTTGCCATAAAAATCATAATCATGAGTTTTCAGTCGAGATACTGACACTTGCATTTTATTACAAATTTCCCCTCCACTATTTTTTATTTCTTTCCACCATTCTCGTTTGTTCTATGCCAATTTTTAAAATGCATATTCAAGTCCATTTTATCTTGTAAGAGAGGGTAGATAATTCATCCTCTAAATCGTTATCGTAGATAAATTCCACGCCACTAATGGCTAAAGTGTAAGTCATATTTACTAATGTAAGCAATCTGAGGAATAAAAATATTTTCCGAAAATTATGAGAAAGATATAAAAACAGTATTAATGGTTCTTATCAATTATTTATAATCACCTTCACGTTATTTAATTTTTATCAGATTAACGATCAAAAAATCGTTTGCTTATGAGGATTTTCTAAAAGATATATTGCAATTTGAGTCTGACCTATTACGAAAACGAATTTCCAATTAGAGATTTGTAAGTTTTTCAGTAATAGAAAATCAAAACTCAGTGCTTATTTTTTCTTATATTATTATAAAGTAAGAAAAGGTTCCATAAACACTTTATTTAAAAAAAATAGTAAAAATCAAGTTGATATACAAAATTTATTAAAGATAAAATATGAAATATTATAACCTGCTATTTGGATCTTAGAAATGGTGATGCCATTTGTGAGAAAAAGCAAAGTACTTATTTAAATGTACTAAATACCCTTTATTTCATTTGTTGTTCTTGTACGACCTTAGGTTATCCCTAGAACTACCTTCTGTAATCCTAAAGGATGAGTTGCTGCAAAGGGTGAGTGCCCAAGTTCAGCATAATTGATTTAAGGTTTCAAATTTAGTATTTGACTTGAGCCTAAATGAAGTTTGATGTATGCGCAGCATATCATGCTATGATATTTTTGTTTCAGATGCGATATTGGACTAATTGGTTTGGCGGTAATGGGCCAAAACTTGGTGCTAAATATGCTTGATCACGGCTTTAAAGTTTGAAAAAGAAATTAAATAATTGAATTGCTAGGTTTGTGTCCATAATCGTACTGTTGCCACCGTTGACAAATTTATTGAGCAAGAAAAATCTCGCAAAAATTTGTGCGGTGCAAAATCTCTTGAGGAGTTTGTCGCCTGTCTGGCGAAACCTCGTAAAATCATGCTTCTTGTCAAAGCTGGCCAGGCAGTTGACGCATTCATCGAGAAATTGGTACGTTTCTACTTTGCTGTGCACGAGAATTAAAAATAATTTATCCCTAATTGAAAATGTTCTTATTATTTATCTATGTTTTTTTGATCTTCCAGGTTCCTCTTCTTGAGAGAGGTGACGTTATCATTGATGGTGGAAATTCAGAATTTGAGGACACTAATCGGCGTTGTGATTATCTTGAATCAAAAGGCATACTTTATGTCGGCTCTGGCGTTAGTGGGGGCGAGGAAGGCGCTCGAAATGGACCAAGTCTTATGCCAGGAGGTAACCCCCTAGCATGGTATGTTTCTTTCCCCTTAGATTGATGCTTAATTAATGTTTCCATCAAAATTAGAATTAATGTGACAGTGTGCATGCGAAGTCCCACGCTCTTGATTTATTGCCTCTCCGCTTTGAATAGGTGGTGATATCTTGTCCGGTAGGCTCAAATGTGGGTGTTAGAATATTGTCCTGGAGTTAGTCATTAGTCGGACGGATGTCTCGTTCACTCTTCTATTTTATTATGCATGGATCCTCTACTTTACATTTCAATAAATCGAGTTCATTTTTCTAAATTTCTAAAACTGCTGATTAGTGCCTATGCCTTGTAGCTAGTTAAATAAACCTAATTTTTTTACATTGATATCCCAGGCCTCTTATCAAAGATATCTTCCAGTCAATTTCTGCCAAAGCTCCCACGGGTGAACCCTGTTGTGATTGGGTAAGCAGAATCAGTTCGCTTTTTTCTAAGTCCGAAATGTTAGTCTGATATTTACTTAATAGCACCAGGTTGTATTTTGTTTGTCAAGCTGTCCTTTTAGTTGTTGTTGTTGCCAGCCATTGTTTCTTGTACTTTTCAGACTGGAACTGGCGGTGCTGGCCATTTTGTTAAAATGGTTCACAACGGCATTGAATATGGCGATATGCAGTTGATTTCTGAGGCCTACTCCCTTCTCTCAAAGTACCTAAACCTCTCCCCGGTAGAAATTGCTCAAGTTTTTGATGAGTGGAATAAAGGAGAACTGGAGTCCTATCTCATTGAAATCACTCGCGATATTTTGCGCTTTAAAGATGACTCGGGTAGCTTCCTTCTTGACAAAATTCGTGACGTTTCTGGTCAGGTAAAACTCAAACCAGGGTCATACGCACACAAGTATAGTAAGATCTTTAAGGCTGATGGATGGGCTAGTTTCTTCCTACTCCTTGATAGAAGTTCATTTCTTTCGCGTTCTAAAAAGGTGAAAGTAAACGTGGGGTCTGTACTTTTATTTCCACCACATCTGAAACATCTTGCCATCTCTTAAGTTTTATCAATACTTGCAAGAACCAATTTTTTTATCAATACAATTGGGAGACACTTTAATGCAGATTTCGTTCCTGTTGTACTTCAAATCACGCTTCTGAAAATGACCAAATGACAGGTCTTCTATTGTCATTGAGTTTTGCGTTTAAAACACGCGTGGCAAGTTTAATGTCGAGTTTGGGGTTTAAAAGTTAAAATACGATAGTTTGAAGAACTGGATAGAATGTGAAGTTAAAGATTTATATCCGTTTTACTTTTGACTTTACGCTTTTGCCGTCCAATTGCTTAATCCATTGAGAGCAATTGAACGCTAAGCCGTTAGCTAGGCTTTTTTAATATTCGATAAGCATAAAATTGCCTCAATGAAATTTCAGAATTAATTTGTTTTTTTTCAAATAAGTAAAACTGTCTAGTAAATATTGTTTGGGTGGGGCCAATTGAATTATTTTCCGCTCTACATTAAGGTAACGCCCTATGCAAAGAGAGTAAACACCTAATAAATGACATATTTAATTAATACCCTTTTTAGAAAGGGACTGGAAAGTGGTCAGTTATCTCGGGCATTGAACGGGGAAGTCCGATCACTCTTATTGGTAAGTGTGGAATGGAAAAGCAGTTTTTTTTCAATTGAAACGCTTTCAATCTGAAATTTCATTTCAGCCGAGTCTGTCTTCTCGAGAAACCTTTCTGCAATGAAAGATGAGCGCATGGAAGCTTCTAAAATACTTACAGGTCCTACGAATGCTCCAGAAGTTGAGAAATACAAGAAGATCTCTTTGGAAGGAAAGAAGAACGTGATTGAACAAATTCGACAGGTGAGTTGCAATCTAACCTCTTTCTTACTTTAAGATTTTAACCTTGGAGAATGATAAGTTAAAGAATGAATTATAGTGTGGAATTTGTTTCTATCTTGTCGTTCTGAATTTTTTTACTAACATGGACTTTCAAGTGTTGGAACCTCGTCTAATCTTCCCAGAACTTTTGATGTTCAAATCCGCATGTTCTGCAGCCAGTAGACGTATTTAATGGAATCACGGCCTATTCGCTCTTTTACGGGCCTGCAGATTGTCAAAGTAGCCATTAAAGCTTACTTGAGTAGCTAATCTTCGTCAGAAAATTGCGCTCGACTTAACCAATGCCGATAGGTTTGTATGGATATTTGCTGCTTTAATCACGATCGCTCTATGAATTCAGATAGAGTAAAATCAATTTGTTGTTAAAGTTGCTATTGCTTCTTTTTATACCCCTTTGTAAGAGCCTTACTAATTGGAATAATTTATCCCTATATTAGGCTCTCTATGCATCCAAGGTTGTATCATATGCCCAAGGCTTCATGCTGTTGCAAAAGGCTAGTAATGACTTTGGTTGGGAACTGAATTTGGGATCGATTGCTTTGACTTGGCGGGGTGGTTGCATTATCCGCAGGTATGTTGTGTAGTCTCACAATCACGAGTTAATGTTTACCTACTAGCCGATTCTTGCAAAATATAAACGCGGCCTACAATCACAATCCCAAACTCACCAACTTGCTTTTGGACTCCTTCTTTCACAAAGTTCTCACTGATTGCCAGGTTAGTGAATTGATCTGAAGTTACGGTGCATACATTGGAGAAACCATACCCTAATTTTGCTAACTTCTCCACCTCTCAGGCTGGTTGGCGATCAGCTGTTTGTATGAGTGTACTTGCGGGCATTCCTGCACCTGGATTTAGTTCTGCTTTGGCTTTCTATGATGCCTTCAGATCTGCTCGTTTGCCGGCCAACTTAATTCAGGTAATAGTCGAATTCTCGCATGTAGACTCCTTTGTGGAAACTTGTTGACTGAATGTAGCTATCTTAATTTTTAGGCTCAACGCGATTACTTTGGGGCACACATGTACGAAATAGAAGGTAAACCAGGCCAATGGCATCACACAGATTGGTCTGGTACTGGTGGGAATACAACATCTTCTACCTATCAAGTTTGAAGGGCCCTCAACTATAACCCCCCCCCTTTCAATAGTGTCAAATCATCATTTCCAATCAACCACGACTAAATTTAACAATAATTTCTCTATTAGAAAATAAAGTAGATTCGCACCGATAAACTGGCTTTTATGGGAAGAGTAGAACATGGAATTTTTGGAGAAGTGAGAAAAAACTTAAAATTATTTACATTAATCTTCGTCAAGATCGCCATCGCCCTGTGGTCCTGATAAATGCTGTCCCGGTCGGCTTGGGTTCTGCTTTTGAGATCCTTGAGACTCTGAATTCTTCGATTTCTTGCCTTCACAGGCCACAATTTTCATCTAAAAAGTAAATTAAAAGGTTATAAAAACTAACTTTGTCCACATGGGTTGTAGAGGAGCCGTCCTTAATTTCAACATTGTTAAGAACCAAGGTCCAGACGTTATCGCAATTACGGTAGGCATTAAGATACCCTTGAAGATTTAGTCGATTTTTTATTTGTGTTGACAGAGCATTACATATACACTGATCGAACTTTTTCATAACCTAATTAAATTAAATCGGGATAGTATCAATAGGTATACCTTCATGGCTAGAGGATTTTTAATAAGATTATGGTCCAGCATCTCATCTAAAGATTCCTGAAGAGTACTTCCAATGGTTGTACCGCGGTAAAGTTGATGGTATTCCTCCGACATTATATATCTAATGACAAAACATGTTTAAAAATAATTAAATGATAGATCGATTGAGATATATTCAATCATTATCATTTTGTTAAAGACAAGGATAAGAGCAGAACAAACATAGTGATAAGATTAAATTAAATAATCAAAACATAGCTTCGACTTCTCATCTGAATAAAACCCAATGGCAGAAAAGAAGGCTAACAAAAAAGCCCCATGATAAAAACCAACCGACCGTTAAGAAGTGCGCGGACTAAAGACTTTATGCCAAGTAAATTGCGAATCCAAAATATTACAACTATCGGTTTGCACAAATCAATAACGAAATCGAAATTAGATGTTTAATAAGTTAGCTGAAATAAATTTAAATTGTTTTAAGGATGACATAAAGCAATCACATAATAGCTATTAAATTAAAAGAAAACAGACAAAAATATTGACGAATTAAATATTTTATTTAAATCATACTATTATTGCTTTTCAATGGCAAAGATATAATCAGTCGCACAAAATACCCATATTCAAATAAAAGAGCAATATTCCTATATAAAAAGAAGGGCACAAAATTGTTTCCTTAAAAAATAAATTCTGCGTTTGCTGTTTTTGGTAATTACTGTTACCTTTTATTAAATTAGAGTTATCAATTTTTGAAATATTTAATATACATATATTTTTTATTTGAATAATGTTCCTTTACATAAATTTTAGTTTATATTATTGAGTGTGTAAACCAAATTTTTGTTGGGCTATTGAATATTTAAAGGTCGTTCGCACATATTGAATATCGTCTAGGTATTTATGGGTTTGGGGATATTTCTTTTTTGAGGTGATTCCCTTATTTTTTAGCCGTTATTTATCTCAATTGTACAGTAATTAATTTTATCCTTTCATTATTATACTTATTTGTATTGGTCTATATATATCTTAATATATATTTTTTTATTTTTGTACATTAATTGTTTCTCATTGTTACCAATGAGTATCGTTATTTAAATAATTTTTTGCTTCCCAGCAAGTGGTGATGTCATCCACGTCATTTAGCTATGTTGAGGAGTTTCGTAAAATTATAATCCTCGCTTTTCCATTGGTAAGTTTTACTGCTATACTCTACTTTACTACTTTATTGTGTTGTTCAAGCACAATCTTTCTCGCATTTTACTCATTTTAGATGGTGACGCATTTTCTTCGTTTTATATGTCCTTTTTTGAGCATTATGATTTGCGGTCATTTTAGTCGTGAGGAACTTGACGCATCGTCATTAGCCAACACTGTATGCGTTTGCAATTCTGAATTATAATTTCAATTGATCCCTGCTATTTTATTTATTTTCTTGTGTTTTTAACGCTTAGGTGATCAATGTACTTGGTCTCTGCATTGATATGGGTTTTTCAACAGCCTCAGAAACTTTATTCAGTCAGGTATTTTAGCAAAATTTGGCTTGTTTACCCTCTATAAACTTGTTTAATCATTTGATTTAAATTTTCTTCAGGCCTATGGAAGTTCAAGAAGGAAATTAATGGGAATTATTCTCCAGCGTTGTAAGTTCCCTATTCGAAATCGTAATTCTATTTAAATACGAATTTTATAACGCTTACTGTTTGTGCAGCTTTGTTTATTATAATTTTAGAAGTATTTGAGGTTGACTTTGCGCTAATTTGTATACCAACCTCATGACAAACTCTGTCCATCAATCTTAACATTTCGGTAGAGTAATGTTTGTTTGAGATCAAAAGACTTATTTAAACAAACTGTGAATTTCGGTTGCGCTGAATGTTGTCGTAAAACTCAGAAAAATCGAAGTTGTTTCTTGTTTAGAGGTAGTTACCGTTTACTTTCGCCTTCGAGTTGAGATCTGATTTTTACTTTTACTTAACTTTACTTAAACTTGTGGATTATTTTAGTTCATTTATTTGAGGTTGATTTTCAATAATCGTACGCTCCTCTGATTATATCTACATTAGTTATAGTTACTTTTGCATCGATTTTTTACCTGTTCCTCTCCCTCTCTCGAAGTAACTTTCTTATTATTTTCATTTTTACTTTCTTTTCGTGTCTTCTTTGGTAAATGGAATTCGGAACGCTGTTGAACTTACATTCTTTCATTTTTCTTTTGTCCAATGTTGTTTTCTATAAAGATTATCGACTTTATACCGTTCGGGTATTCAGTTTTTACCTTTAGTGTATAATTGACTAATTCTCTGAATGTTGACTATGTAGGCGTCGTCAACGGCCATCAATTTCGAAATTCTTTGAAGGTATTTTGACATTGAACATAGTTTCAGTATTAGAGATAGCAGTCTGTATTACAAGTTAGTTTAATTTTCATTGTCCTTTTTCAGTTTAAAATACTTCGAAAACTGGTCACTTGTTGATCTCTTTGTTAGCGAAGAGGCATTCTTTTCTTTCTAATCTTTACTGCAGTTGTAAAATTTATATTTCGCTCCTATTTAGTGCGATATCTCATCTTTGAAGTAAGTACATTAACTTTGTTGTCAGGTATTTCAGCCACAATAAAGCAGTCAAACCAGTGGCCTCATTGTTACCTAAATTGAGTTATTTAAGCCACTATTTAGTGTAAGCTTTCATATTGTTCTTATTGGTTTGGTAGCTTTATTGTTAAAGATCTATGTAGTACCTTTTCGGCCACTGGGTATGCTACAGTGAGTTCGAGCCCTTAATCTCTGACGCCTTTTATGCATTTTCACTACGTCTTTTTTATGGATTTGCATATCATCTATGTTATATGGGCACACAGCATTTTAAAACTTATATTGTGTCAGTATGGCCTACATCTTTTCCTTTTTCCTTTAAGTTTTCTTAAAAAATTGCTACATTTTCGTGTCTCCTTTTAGCACTGCTTATCATGACGCTAATCTTCCTCACACTGGCTTGTTTCCACATAAGCATTGAGTATTTTCTTCTCAAAGCACAACAGGATCCACTTATTTCATCGTAAGTTCCACCCTCTGTCTAACCACTCCCCCTTTTCGTCGTTATTCTTACTATTATGAACTTTTTTCCCCTGAACTAGTTTGGCGGCCGATTATATTATGTGCTTCCTACCCGGACTCTACGTGCGTTGAATTTCTTATGTCATATTCTTTGCTATATATGTCTATTTTTTACGATATTTGTAAAAATATGTGCACGTAAGCATTTAGTTGGTCCAAAATGACATTAGGTTTAGGTCTGTACGCCTTTGAAGTAGCGGCCACTATGGAACTTCGACTACATCATTTAGAAAGCACCGGTTCAATTCCCATCGGCACACTCTCATTGATTGGAATGATCAATTCCACTTGTTAGGTCTGACTAGTATAACGGTTATGCGAATCCTACATTAGAGGATTCCACTTTAGTCAAAATGAGCATTAGCAAATACTTCCTTAAATAGGTTTGAGTATCATATCGTTATTATCGCAGAGTCGATTGTCCTATTGAACGAAGTGAGCGACTGTATTGGTTAAGATACATCAAGGTAGCCCTTAACGATGAATCATAAACAGTGACTACATATACTTAGTGAACTATTAGAACATGCTTAGGACAGCTTTGATAGACAGGTAACAATGAGTATGCTCCCGATCTCCACATGTAGCATTATTTTTGGAATAGTTTGAATAATTCCATTTAACAGGTATATATTGACGTTCTTTTTCTACTTTCAGTGTGACTTTCTCTTCATGACACTTTCACGGTACCTGACTAGTCAAAATCTTGTGAAACCCATGACACTTGCAGCCATTGCTGGAACCATATTCACTGTCCTAACTCAACCTCTTGTTTACTACCTGAAACTGGGACTTAGGTATGCCATTTGGCCTATTTCCAGTTTTAAATTGCACCTTTTACTAGTGAAAATTTTGTTTCCCATATTCTTTGTTCAAGTTATAGTTAAGCATTTCCCAAATTTTTGAAGGAATTCACTAAATCATTGAATACTGGGACTCTTGTCTAATCGGTACTGTATTCGGATAATTGATAGCTGTTCAGATTGAAATGCTCCTCAATATCTGGAGATAGTAGCCGGATTTAATACTCTCTCATTCTCTCGATTTGATAGTTGAGGGTTATTTCTAGAGACAGTAATGGTGCTTTTCATCCATTGAGGCGGTTGCAACAAGGTTGCGCCGTTTATATAGAGGAGGACCAGGTTCCATACGCGTTTCTACCTTTTGTATCAACTGTACTAGCAACTGCAAATATAACAAAAGGAGCTAATAGATTTGGTTGGGCTCAGATATTACGCTGTTCTCCGTCGAATAAATGAATGAATATAAACTTCAGACGCACATATGGTGTACCAAATGAAACACACAGCTGAAGAATCATTGTTTACTAATTAACATTTATTGGAATTTGGGCCATTTTGAAGGCTAATCAGATTCAACCATATCGAATTCTAATTCCCCCCCCCCATTAATAGATGATTTCATATGTGTTCAACATTTTAGAGCGTCTGCATGCTTCCTATCCTGTTCTTTCGCGACGATGCTATTATGTGAAGTCCTCTACATATACTTTTATCGAATCTACTCCGAAACTTGGGCAGGTATGAATTGCCATTGCCATGCATATTAATCCCCCACCCTCAGCCATCATTTTTGGAAACTCGCCTCTCACGTGAATTGTATATTTTTTGCCGCTTTTACTACCTCAGTTTCGGTAACATTTCACATGACTACACTCATCAGTCTCGTAATTTTAGTGGTGGTTTTTTTGGGTGTAAATCATATTACTTTATTAAATACGTAGGGGGTCAGTGTTGCATTTTCGGTGACGAGTACAACTATCAATCAAAGAAGTACCTGGATTTTTACTTCAGTTAATGGGAAATGTAATGAAAGGGCTATTTTATCATTTTGTCTTACAATATATATATATATATATATATATATATATAGAGTACAAGCGTTTAAATAAAAGTGGCAGAGAAGGATTTACTAATCCGTTGCATGATGTCTCATTTTTTTCAGGATGGGATTTCGTTTCCGCACTCTCGGATTGGGGCATCTTCTTTCGATTTGGCATTCCTGGGGTTCTTATGGTGGCTTTTGAGGAGTGGTGTCTCGAACTTAGTACATTTATTGCAGGTTAGTCGTTAATTTATTAAAAAAATCACGCTAAATTATCATTATACTTGGAGTTATTTGAAAAGATAGTGTGCAATGTACTATTCTGACGATCAGATGCTCAGCTACATCTAGGAGAAACGAATTGGCTAAAGAGTGGAGAGATTTATTCATAGGGATTTTTGCTCTTTAGTGCTTCACTATTCAGCTGCGATGAACAAATGCTCTTTGATTTTTCACCGAATCTGTATTAGCATTATGTGGATGATATTCTGTTACTTGACAGCCAGAAATTGGGCACAGGAAGTCCTTGAGGATAATGGGTTCTGTGATGATATCGGCAAAGTTTTCGTCTTTGCCCTCCCCCTCCCCTCCAATTAAGAGCTTCGTATTTCACTGGTTTCTTGTTACTTTCTTTGAGGTGGAAATTTGACCTTTTGGAGACGAAAATCACAATTTTTGGCTGAGATTCAACCACGCCAGTCTTATCAAAAAGATTGTCTTAACTACTTGATCGGCTCATGGAGCCCCCGTTTAACATTTTTCCTATTTCTTCCCTGCAATCGGTTACTCATAATGCATTTCTGGAGTAAATGAACTGAGAAGGTTTCATAAAACAGCCCGGAAGTCGAGCTCTTTTCATTGCAATTTATCTGCTGAATTTTTAAGAGTAATCTTCTCGTGTTGGATCAGCCTTCTTGAGTCGTTTAGGAATGTTATCCGATAGCCTTAGTACCATTTTAAAAACACCCGTAATAGAGGATTGACTTGTACTTTAGGTTCTAATTGGGTCCCTTCCAAAAAATTGGGTCATAACCTCTCAAGTTGGTGTTTGGTCCTACAAATGTTAGAATTCCATTCACTCGTAAAGAAAATTATGTGTAATACTATTAGGTCGGCAACTAAGTCATTGCCGATTTCAAATAAGAAGGCAAATTCGGAATTTTTGTTTAAAAATATCACTTTATTCAATTAGATATTGGCCGTTCTTGTCGATGACCTTTTTCCATCGTTCTGACAGAGTAAAAATTCCCCGTTCGTAAAATGTCTGGTCTTTGCTATTATAAAACTGAATTAGGTGTGATCCGACATCATCCGCGTTGTTACAAATTTTACCATTTAGAGAGTTTTGCATGGAACGAAACAAATGGTAATCCGAAGGCGCAAGGTCAGGGATATATGGTGGGTGTGACAAAACATCCCAACCCAGTTGCAATAATTTTTGCCGAGTAACCAAAGATGTGTGCGGGGGCCTTGCGTTATCATGATGGAAAACAACACCCTTCCGCCGATTTGATAATGCCGGCCGCTTATCTTCAATTGCATCCTTCAGTTTTTCGAGTTCTTCAACATACACATTTGAATTTATCGTTTGGTTCTGCGGCATGAGTTCAAAATACGAAATTCCTTTGTGATCCCACCACCAGACTGACAGCATAATCGTTTTTTGGTGAATCTCTGCTTTTGATACTGTTTGGGCTGGTTGATCTTGCTTCACCCATGATCTCTTGCGAGTAACATTGTTATAAACTATCCACTTTTCGTCGCCAGTAAGTAACTAGGTTCTTCAGAAATGGATCATTCTCATTGCGTTTCAGTAGCGGCGAATCACAGATGCTAATCCGTAGCGTCAAATGAATTTCCTTTAACTGGTGAGGGATCCATAAATCAAGTTTCTTGACATAACCAAGGGTTTTTAATTTTTTTTTCAATGCATGTATGCGACACATTGAGCAGCTTCTCTGCAATATCTCGTGTTGTGCTGTGACGATTTGAATCGATAATGGCCTTGATATGGGTTTCATCCACTTCGACTGGGCGGCCAGATCGTTGTGAATTTTTCAGTGAAAAATCACCGCAACGAAATCTTTCAAGCCAATTTCGACACTGCCTTTCTTTTAAGGCTTCATCTCCATATACGCACATAACTTCTTTTGTGCTTGCGATGCGTTCTTGCCTTTTCGGAAGTAATACAATAAAATGTGTCGGAAGTGCATGTCCTGTTCTTTCATTTTTAAATTGGGATAAAAACAAAACTAAAGAACTAAACAAAAAAATTTTTTTACTTCTTAACCTAGAAGCCCATACAGTAAGAAAAAATATAGGTTAGATGCTCTGGCCACGTTAACAAAACAAAAGAAAGTATAGAGTGAATCTGTCAACAAAAACGGCAATGACTTAGTTGCCCACCCAATAGTTGGCCTAGCCTCGAGTTTGAGAAGAGACTCTTTTTTGTGAAATTTTGGAATTATCATAGATTTATTTTAATAATTCGGCCAAAATTTGGCACCATGTGTCGAGATTTGATGAGTTGGTTGGTTAATTCCGATTTTATCCATTATTATGGGAGGTAAGAATTGAGGTGTTTAAGCTGTCACAAATACAGAATATTTTTCCAATAGGTACTGTGTTTTAAAAAAAACTCATTTAGTTATCTAAAATGACCTCCAGGTCATTAATAGGAGTGTTGCTAACACATTGCCCGGCCGGATGAGGACCATTCAGAGGTCATTTAATGGTGAAATTTTATTTCATCATTTCGTTTATTAACTAAAATCAACCAGTGTGTGGTTATAAATTGTACATTACATAGATTTTTATTTTGAAAATACTCGTCTGTGATTTTATTAAGCTCTCAGGATTGCGTTATAAGTATTTATTGAGATGAGATGAATTGGGAAACTGTGATGGGATAATGATGTCTAAAAGATATATTGTACTTACGGGCTTCTCTTATCATTACAAACCGTATCGGAAGAAGTTGGCGTATGCGCCAGGAGTATTTGTTCTAAGAATGAAAGTAAATGCGCCTTATTCCGTACTTATTTTATGTTATAAGTTCGAGGTGGCGATACGATGTAAAACCTAATGGGTGAAAGTTCGACGAATGGTCTTCCTTACGTATAAAACTGAATTATATAGGAGTTTAGTAATGGGGCCAAATTTTCCTCCTGTATTCACGAGAGTTCTTCAAATTTACTTTTGACAGAATGGGAACACACACAATTTAAATGTATTGCTAATTTATTGCGCAGCTGTTCCAATTGAAAGTAGCATTTCTTGAGTACAATGTGCCTTATTCCAATCTCTCTATTTTGCATTTGTAGGCACGATCGGTGATGCTGTATTAGGAGCACAAGCCATCGTCTTTCAAATCCAATCTTTCATCTACATGGTAAGTGGACTTCAAGGCGGTGATGTTTGCCTATGAAATGCCAAAGTAAAATACAGAATGAAAGCTGCCTAAGTTCTATTGCCCCTTCCTACTTGAGTACTACAAGGTATGGATAAGACGTGCATGTTTTGAACATCCCTTAATAATAGACTTGAGACCAGTTTCCCTGTAAATGCTACCTCTCAGCAGAGAAAAGCTAAAAACACAGATGTTAATTAAGTCTGTAAAAGTTCGAAAAATCGCTTGCAGTCCTGAAAAGCGTTGGTGTCTGTCATGATTCGGTGAGCAAATTGAGAAGAAATCAGACAGAGTGAAAGCGTCTCTACAGATACTCTGTGTTAAGTACTTTTAGAGGAAGTATTCTGTCAAGAAACGAGGGAATACGCATCAAGTTTCTTGCACACTTGCCTTGTAATTGGATAATACTAATTTACTTGGCATTCTATGCTAGCTCAACCGATGGGATTCATTGATAACTTAATTTTATTGAAGCTTCGGAGTGTTAATAGTAGACGTTACTGGTCTAGTCAATTAAAATTGACAACTGGAACAAAGGATCGTAACTGAAGAGTCAATATTATTGATAAGCTCCGAGTGTCTTGGTTATCGATCTCACCCATAACCTCGAGTTCGAATAATGAAATTTCAACCCTGGGGGATTATGCATGGTCAATTTTCAAAATATAAATTTCCTGATTCATCAGCTGGAGTTCTGAGCAAATTCTCTTTAGCAATAACCAGAAATTTGATCTTAACTCTTGGTTTTGAGCTTCAATTCATTTGTTTTTCCAAGGATTGAGAAATCTGAGTGGCCTTACACATGCCTGTTGCTCCGTCAAGGGTGATATTTTGGTGAAACATATGCAATTTATGACTCTCTTTAGGTTCCCTTAGGCGTTCGCACTGCTGTAAACGTGAGGGTCGCTCAACAACTGGGAGCTTTTGATCCCCAAGGGGCCCGACATACCACCGTGACTGCCTTTGTCTCCGTTAGTAAGCACGTGCTCTAAGAAATATGTATATATGCTTATGTGCTTCAACCTTCCTTGCCCCTTCTTTAATCACTTCGTGAATTCTCTTTTTCATTCTATAATGTCTTTCCTTTTCTTACTTATGCTTCTGAATATGTGCAGTTGGCATCGTGTTCTCAACGGCAGTGCCCGTGGTTTTGATGCGTCACATACTACCATATCTCTTTACATCTGACAAGTAAGCAAATTATTACTCTTCTTAAGTCTAAGTCATTATTCTGTTCTGAATTCTTATTGTGGTTTGCCTCTTGTCTGTAACCTGATTGCTTGTTGTTCTTTTTTGCTTTATAGAGAAGTTATTGATGAGGCTGCTAAACTCTTCCCAATGCTCCTGGTCTTCCAATTTTGCGAGGGATTGGGTGTAAGTACAAATTATTAAGCGTAATTATCTTTACTCTCACTTATAGCCTCAGAACAGCTATTTACCCAGTCCATTAGAACTGAATCTAGAAATAGTTTTATTGAAAAAAAACTTCAAATATTTTAACATATTATCAAAACACGAGCACATTTGGTTTATTGGTAGTAACCATAGTTTCTCCTGCTTTGTTTGACTATTTTTTTCTTAGGTGAGGTGAGGGGGGTGGGCGGGAATAGATGCTCACAAATAGTGTAGAGCCAAATGAAACATCCCGCTGAAGAACAAACAATTTGACTCCTTTCAAATAAGAAAAATATTGCCAAAATCAAAAGCGAACAGTCAGAATAACAGATAGTTTGACTTGCATACAGTCCAAAGAACACCCCTTGAGTGATGTGGACTAAATTTGTCCAAACTTCCATGGTTTTCAGATATATGTCATCCTCCATCTGAAAATGATATGGTGCCTCCACACTTTTAAAGAGGGAGTATTAAGGGTTTAGGTTGAACTCAGTTGTCTACATGGAACTGGTGACTATTGGATAACAAATGAGGGTAGCCACTAATAGGGTGTATGCATAACGATAGAGAAATTCAGCCCCTACTGCACTTCAAGAAAATGAGGAAAGGATTACCAGCCAATTTTATGGTTACGCTAGTTCCTATTTTTGGCATTTGGAGTTCCAAAATCTCAAGTCGATGGGATATTATGTTTGTATTGGCGTTGTGAAGAACGAAACTAGTCGTCGTGTCTGTTATTGTGCAGTATGACAGTCCTTTGATGCTCTTCACAGGGAAAGTGTAAAATCAGCTTCCTGAAGGTTTCAGACCAAGAATCAGATTGAAGCCCAAATTGATGCTAATGGCTGTTATTATTTTTCGAAAGTTGTGTAATTTCCTCGTCTTCTGAATTTCGTCCAAGTTTATTCAATTTTTGAAGTTATCATCCACTTTTTTTATTTTCCTTAGTGGGTCTGTATATTGCGGCCTTGTAGTGAGTAGGAGAGATGGGATGTACCATGCAGATCAGGCTATGGCAGGTGGAATTGACTTTCCGAGAGGTAATCATTTCAAATTCATCATATGTTGGTTAAGCAATAAAATCTATGAGTCTATATATAGTCTGATAGTACTATTGAATAGCGTGGAGAAATACTAATAAAAATGTCATTAATTTCTTGCATTCACCTTCTGTACTCCTGTTAATATGAAACCCGTGTCCACAGAATTGGGTCTGCTATTGACGTCGTTCATGTGGTTGTATGCGTAAGGTTTACAGGGATTAATGTGGGTCAGTGTTCTACACTGTCTTATTTACTCTTAATTATTGAGTGGAAAGTAGACATTAAGGCAATTCTAGTTAATATCGAGGTGTTAAGTTTGCCAAAACGCATTTAAACTACTGATGCAGTACGCACTACACGTATCTTCTTACTCAGAGCTTAAGAGATCAGTGCTCAGTGAGGCCCATCCAGTGTTGTCAAATGCTCTTGCTTCAGGTTGACAAGAAGGGCCCTAAAGCGTGATTTTCTTATCGAAGGAGTTTCCATGCTGTTATTAGAAGACACTTCCTTAACTAGGCGCTTGAGCTTTACCCTTGAACTTGGACTTGCAAATCTGCCCACTTAACAACAATTATATGGTCCGCATCTAGAGTTTTAGATGGTCAGGATCATCGGATATTTCTGGTTAACATGTTGGATTTTGAAATGTGAGTTTCTCATATAAAACACCTCCCGGTTACCTTCCCTCATTCAAAGTCAAGAGCTTTAGGTTAGGGAAACGATTTAAGTCAGGTGACCTTAAATCCCTTCATTTAAAAAAAAGGGAAAATAAAATTCTTGAATCCGGACTGTCGTAATTCCCTAGGTATATATTATCTAAGAAGTTTGTTTGCATGGGTCTGTATTATGTTCGACCTATTTAAAAGACCTCGTTTTGTTGGCCTCGTATTTTCTGTCAGTAGTAATATCGAGTTTACCATCAAACGACGCTATTTCTCCCTAGAGCGCTAATTAACTTACAAAAGAGCCATTAATCTCAATCGTTTATTTTTCGATCTTTGTTGTTTATTTCATTCTTTTTTTTCTTTAAAGGGAGTTTCGGAGGCTGTATTGCTGGCCTGCGGTCGACAATTCCTGGGTGCAGCAACAATATTCTTCGGCTATTATTGTATTGGTCTACCTCTGGGCTTTTTTCTCACTTTCAATCTTGAGTGGGGAATCATTGGTACGTGTACAGCTCTTTTTCTCTTTACCATCGAAAATTCTATAAAGTTCATCTTGCGTGTATGAGGCCGATATGGTCTGTCTCAGAAATCGAGTATCTAGCGAAAGTTACTCCGCTACCCAAGTTAAATGGAGAACGTGGGGGCGGGGTGGGGGTACTACTGTTTCTATGCTCTTATTAGCCTGATTTGATGTGGACTGATGTCATTGGAATGGATGTGATTTGCCCGAAGTGACTGAATCCTGTATTGCTATTTATTATCCTTCATGTCTGATGTGGTAGAATGTGATTTTAAGACAATGAACCAGTTAATGATTGGTGATTGATCTCGCCTTGTAATGACCTTGCTGGAGATTTAAAATTGCTGGTTTTTCAGAGACTTGGAGGTAGTAAAATAATCTTTTCTTTGCAGCTATATTACATCATATACAAACAAATGAAAGATATTTATAAGCGTCGCATAATGTTCGCAGGTCATTTGGGAATTTGGCTAGAAATCATTATATTAGATTGGCAACTAAGTCCAAATCCAAATCTTCTTGTCCAATTCATTTGCGCTGAATGCTCTTCATGCCACTTTGATTAATTTCTCACCATTTATAACCAAAAGCACGTTCAGCAAAATATAATTCGTGGTTCGTCTAAGCCGAACTCTTCAACTCCGTTATCCAATAAAGTATTAAACCTCGGTATCGATGTTTAAATTCGCACTCTTTTGGCTACTTTTTGAAAGTTAGAAGGAAATTCTTGAAAAAAATTAGTTACTCGGCAATGCATATGCTTAACAAAACAATTTTCAGCTGCAAAGTGGGGGCGGGGGGGGGGGGGGGGGGGGGGGTTGGAGAGGTGGAGCGAGAGGGCGAAGAGCGGTTCTCCGGTAATTGCTTAACGCATTTTAGCGCTTAACTTTATTTTTTGCGCATGCTTCTTCTAAGTAGGAGTTTTGCCATTTTAAGTGTCTGACCTCACATTTGTGTGCTACGGCCTTTTTCTTACCCTCATAACTTACCAATAACTCAGCTCGCTCTTGAGAACTTACAGACCTTGGATGCCTATTTTTATCTACTAATAGTTTGTATTCTCCTAATGATTAAGCTTGAATGTCATCGTAAATAATATGTCATTTAGTTTTTACTATTAATATTATATTTTTATATCATATTCAATGGGTGCAAGGAGACACCAATTAACAGATCTTCTTCCTTGAGCTTAACGTCAATGCGCACTGTGTTTAGCTTTGAAGGTTTGCCAATATTGCGATTTCCTTACAAATTTAACTCCACCGCTTCACACTTCGTTGCTCGTGAATTTTTCTAAAACAAAAACTAATCTGATCCAAGACCTCATTCACGTGTTATGTACTATGTTGACACGCTATTTTATCTTATTGTTACATTGTTTTTTTGCTAAAAATCCTTCTTTTTCCTCCTTAGGTATGTGGGTGGGATTGGCAACTGGATTTTTCCTAACAGATTGTGTCTACACCTTCTTCGCGTTGAAAACGGATTGGAAGGAACAATCGAGAAAGGTAAGAGCAAGTGATTTGGTTGATTGCGTCCACGCATCGAGTGCAACTTTCCATGAACCCGAGGCTCTGGCCCGATTCCCTTTTGATATTTATGTTAATGTGGGATGCCATTTACACTTCATCCTGTTTTTATTATGCAATTCCATATTCAAATGTGCTAAGCACACACACACAAATTATAACTACAAATATCAGTTACTCTGGTGACCATCCTATCAACTTGGACTAATTCGTTGGTTGAAGTGACGGAATAGGTGGTTTGGGTGGAGATGTATAAGCATATTGGCTTTCCTTCTATACTCCCTGTTTGCATTCTCTTTGCTAACACTAAATGCCTAGAAGTTTGTTGTCTTAGCACTTCATATTTTTCATTCGTGTCTTATAAATCATTAGTGGGGGTGGGGGGGGGGGGGGGGGGGGGGTGACTTGTCAAACTATTAGACCTTCAAGTTTCTTAGCTATTCGCGGCAAACGAAATTGGAAGAGTGTGTCTTGGGCAGAGTGGGTAGACAGTTTATCGTATTCTTACATATTAGGAACTACGCAAGGGGTCATGACTAGATTAGATCAAGTTATTTACTCGGTTTGACTTGTATCTATAATCTGGATGTCTGAGCAACACGAGCTTATGACCTACGTCATACATACGAGTCTCCTAAAGGAAAGAGGTGCGCTTATTAATCTGGCCGAGTTCCTGTTCCTGTCAGATTATTTATCCGTCTTTTTCTCCATTTGTGCTTCTCTAGAACGTAGGCCATTACAGAGAAAGTGCGGTCTTAGTTAATTTAAAGAAATACTCCAAAAGAATATGAAAAGACACAACTATCCTATGAGGCTCTGAGACATGGAAAGGTGGATCAAGAGATCTGGGGACTGAAAAAGGGTGAATGAAACGATAATTTTACATTTTGTCTGCAATCCTCTAGCCAATGGCCACTGTTCTCCCATGTTTGGCACACTACGCTCATGCAAGACTGGACGCGACTGGTTGGCGTGACAGTTCACTTAACCTCACAGTATCAAAGCGTTTGGTGAATTACAAAGTGATTCTTTCAATGCCTTTCCAGCAAAATATTGACGAACTACTAGAACTATTGGGGGGCGTTTAAATTAGCGCAATTCTTCTCCTTATTTCATTACGCCATATCTTCTACAGTTGGCATGGGTGATTAGCTCATGTGGGGGAGGGGGGGGGGGGGGGGGGGGGGTGGACTAATTTTGGTGAATTATAATTTCTCTTTTTTTCACCCCTCCTAGTGCTTGAACAACGTGCGGCAACATTCCGAGGGTCTTCCAAATAGGTATAAAGGTGAGATAAATAATAATTGCTCACTTTTATGGTTATTGCGCATATAACTTTAGAAAAGGAGATATCTGTGTATATTGAACCTGGCATTCCCCCCCCCCCTGATTATTATTATTCAACTTTGAGATTGGAGAAATTTTGTTATTTTGGGATATTTTTTCTCTCCCTCTCAGTTTCGTTCGGGAGTGAGAAATATGCTTCCCGTTCAAACGATTAGAACTGCGGATGGCCGCCTAATAAATTACAGTTAAATCATCGTTGTCTTTTGTAGTATCTGAAGCACTCAATAATTAGTTTGAGCATCGTGTATTTGATAGCTTTCAGCAAGATTAGTACTTCCTTTCATCCCTTATATGCAGTTCGCAGCGTGTTAAACTTTTCTCCCTTACCACGAATTTCCCCGAGATGGACTTTAATATCACATGAAAGTGGAATAGCTAGGTGGGTAGACATTGCCAACGGCTTTTCTGGGGGAGTTTTTGGCATAGTGACGTTTTGTGTGATTTCTTTTTTTAGCCTCTATAAATATCTGCCACGTGAAAAAAAGTTTCACTTGTTAATTGTTTGATGGTAAACAAAAGTTAAGTCTACTACTTAGCAAGCTCTTCACACACACACACACACGCACACCGCAATTTATTTCGAAGATTGCGCTTCTGGTAATATATCCATGAGGCGCATCCATCTTAAGCCGCAGTTGAACAAAGTTGGCAATCACTAATCCAGTCAGTAGCCGTAACGCACCTATATGCCTATAGTATATGAGATTGGCAGTTATAAACACAATTCGCAAATCTAGGTCTCATATAAACGATTAAATTTTGGACTCTCAGAAATTAATTGTTCCTAATCTTTTTTTTCGAAGGCATTTCGTTGCATGACAAAGTGTTCACGGATAAAGTTAAGGACATTCAAGATATTAAGAAATTTACCTTCTAGCATACCAACTATTGGCCAGAATAAAATCGTTGTGGTTGGTTATCTCCACCCACTGGACGTTAACTAATAGGCATTATTCTCGTGACCTTGGACTTATCAGATGCGCGTTTTGGCCACTGAGTTTCTAAAATCGTTAACTACTGTGCGCACACGCTCATGAAGTCTCATCACTACTGCGTTACTGCCTAATATGGGATTCGTTTATCCAGTGTTCTGTCTAAATAGCTGCAAGTCTGCTTTCTTTCGTTAAAGAGTTCTCTATATCTTTCCTCCTTGATCTCTCTCTCCCTCCCTCCTTTCCAAATGTTCAAACTTTTAGTATTATTAACACGTTGTGGTGTGTTGCGCGTAGCGAAAAGTTTCTCAAATCTGTTACATCTTGGATTCACCATCCCTGGGTTTGAGTTAGAGGTAGAATTATAGGCTAGTATTCTCCAACATTTAGCAAACTTGTGCTCTTAATTTAATTGTTATTTTTGGGTTAGGAACACAAGAATAACACATAATGAGGCGCTTCAACATGCAACACACTTTTCTTGAATCATCCTAATCTCCATGTTGGTTCGCACGAACACCCTTTGATTTAGTTCAAAAAAATTCTTTCACAAAGGAAAAAAATGCCGAATGTGAACTTCCCAGTTAGGACGAAAAATAGGGTCTATTTTGTACCTCTTCTTTTTTCCTCATTCGGTCCATTGCTGTTTAAGTAAGATGCATTTACTGTAGGAAGATTGTGGTGTCTCTTCGTTGCTCGAACTTTGTTTTTCGGCTCTACAAGCTTGTCAGTTCTTATAGTTAGATTGGGGCGAGATTCTGATGTCGATTGTCGTTGTTGGTTTCTAGGGGGGTGAAGATTCATATTTCGTAAAAAAGCTAATGGAATTGTAATTTCGAAATTCAACAAGTTTAAAGCATTCGATGCAACTATCATCGTCAACTGTTGCTTGCTTAGATTTTAATCGTACATTTTATGCATTGTTTCGATAGTTCATTATATTTTTTTCGGATTTTTCGTTCATTTTAATTGCGTCATTATGAGCCAACCTTAATTGCGTGATAAAATGGGGAGATGTCTTGGGGAAATTGACCCAGAGGTTTGTTTTTCTTTCTGTCTCTAAGCTTTCTTTCGGCTTTTGCCGACTGACGAAGGCGTGCCGTTTAAATGACGCGGCTTTTCAGCGAATTAGGCGCGATTCATGGGAAATTCTGTGTGGAAAAAAAGAAAAAAGAAAAGAAATAAATTTGAAGGCATAACAGCCTTAAATTTTCTTAGGTTTTGAAGTTTATCCTATAGTCAGCTTCATGGCCTGTTTCAAGGAGCGCTCTTAATTTCATTCGAATGTTTGTGTCTCCGTAAAGTAATTATCTGCTTTGGATTAGGGATCTTCTCGATTGCCTATATTTATATTTTGATCGTGTACATCCCGAATGTCAGCATTGTTCCTAAGGCCCGTAATTCCTTGTCAAGCAGATCAATGTAACAAACATCAGTTTCATCGTGTTTAGGCCTTTTGGCGGAAATCGTTGAGAGGCATCATTTCCCCATTGATCCATTTCTCATATGTTAAAGCATATTTTCTTATATTTCATAGCACTTCACACACTATTAGCTTTTTCGCCATTCAACTTGTACTTGATCACATTCATCCTTACATTCTTAAACCGTTTGGAGCTCTTTTATGAAAGCATTTTGGTTCTTAACAATCTTTTGTACTATTTCATCGCCATCTTTTTACTCGAGCAAATGATTTCCCGACCTCATGATGTGTCAATGCAAGGTCTTTGTAGTAATAAACTATTCTATCATTATGCTTCCAAAAACCTTGAAAGAAAAGGCATCATCTTTGAGGCAAGTACCAATCCACTTCAAGCCAATATTTAATTAACAATGTATCCGAGGCCCTTCCTATTTTGATTAGCCTCTGGTTTTTGGTGTGATGTATCGATGTGTACATACACGTGTTTCCACTTCCAACATTCATCTCATGTACAGAGAATCTGCGAGTACTATTGCGCTTGACAATTCTATCCACTGGATGCGCACAGATGTTCTCTATCCAGTGATCTCTTATTTCACAGCGAGTTCACACACCACTATTTGCATACTACCCAAAATACAGGCTTTCCCAATCTGCTATTTCCAATTATGGACCTTCTTTAAATTGGCAACCAGAGCATGACAATTGAGATCGTTGCTTGGCCAACTAATTGTGTGATACTAACAGCCATATTTTTTTAGCTCATAGAATACTTAACTGCTCAGGTATGTTTCGAATCGATGCTCATTGCAGTTGCTATTTGTTACTCCTTCTTTCATATGCGTAATACTATATATATGTACCTTTTCTCGGATCTTCTTCTTGTAGAATCCACTTTGTTGCCATACGACTGCGAGCGAGTTGAGGAAAAGCAATTTTCCACCACTGTTGTCCGGCCAGATTGGTTCAAAATCCGCTTAAAAATTGGCTTCTTCGTCCTTGTCTCTCTCTTTCTGCTGTATAACTTATTTCTTCGTTTCCATTCCAAGATACCCTATTGGACTACTGTGTGCCTAAACGAGACCGCTGTAAAGAAACCGAGTGCAGAGTTTTGTCAGAGCGCCTACTTCAGTGCGGGCTTAATTTGAAGTCTTTCCTTTTACTCGGTTTCTTCTGTAACCATTCCCCCCCCCCTCCCTCCCTCCTTCTCCCCACCACTCTTCTATGCCTTTTTTTCTACTTATCATTATTGTCCTTTTTCAAGATTTCCCTTTGAGTTGTCTTTTTATGCACACATATTTCTTAAATCATAAGCCATGGAAGTGAATGATCGTGTATTTTAGTGTCGTAGTGGTGAGTAAGCATGTTTCTTGACCTGATATTAATGAACAGTGCGCTGGGGGGGGGGGGCAGAGATGTTGTACTGGGAGGGTGGACGTATCTCAAGTGAGTTGCAGCTAAGAGGCAACCAAGTTGAGTCAGATTAAAGCTGCCAAGCCATTCCCTTGCCAAACTTTCACGCACCTAACTTCAAGAGTGGAAATTGAACAAGCCTGTCAGCGGTTACCTTTATCAGGATTTAAGAGAGCGAGAGAGAGAGATAGAGGGGTGAAAGGACACCAACCCTAAGTGGGAAACTGTAGGTTACATTGAATATCTCGACATTTCGGGCACAGTGGTTACCGTGTTTACGAAGTCAAGTGTCTTTGGCTAACTCCCTGTAGATCTGGCTGAGTCCAAACTATTCAAAAGCGGTCTCCTTGGCGTTACTATTCTTTCTCCTCGAAAGAGTAGTTGAAAACGCTACGGTTTAGAAAGGCCGGATTTCGGTTAAACTGATTATTTGACAAGTGGCATAATTGACCTAAAAAATTAGAAATAGGCAATATCGTCAGTCAATATGAGTGAATAAATGAGATGCTTGGAGGGGTGTCATACGCAGCAGCAATCCCATACTGAAAAGGAGGATTACGGCCGCATTCTAACCCGTTCATCTTTTATACTCATATAGGTTCTTATATTTTCATATTAAAATGCTTAATCAATGGATGGCACTTTAATAAATATTGAGAGAAGCAATAGAACTGCCTAGCAAGCACCTTTATCCACACCTGCATCTGACTCTAAGTGCAAGACAAGTGGCATGAATTCTCATCCCTGTCATGCTCTTCAACGTTGATCATTAACACAATGACTCATTCTTCTGGTCATCATATCCACTAGCACAAACCGGTGCGGTGGTGATATGAAGGAGGCCCAGATAAAGACAAGAAATTTTCCTTAACGTGCGCAGAATCATCTAAGTGGGTAACACACAAACAAATGGGAAACTGTTTTATGTGAATCATGAATATATTAAGTCACTCAAGTCTTAGGAACAGTGATGCCGGCGAATTTTAAATGATATAAGCAGTCTGTGGATTACTTTAAAAATGAAAATCGATATGTCTTCAACCCGGGGTGCGCAATAGACTTACCTCCATGTGGTGAACCCTGGGCGACGTATACTTACACGGCAAAAAAGTCTATTGATCGGCAGTTGACTTCTGACTTCCAATTTCTATGGCCCGACAATTTTTCATATTCGACCCCTTCCACATTACTCATCTTACCTTTTTTATGCCTTTGTGTCTGTCTGTCTCTTTTACCTCTGTGAATCATTATTCTGTCTCCCATCTCGACTTTTTGTCACTTTGATGTCCCTTCTCCTCTTCATGAGGCCCCGAAGTCAGCTCCAGGGCTAATGATAACTATCAAAACGCCTGCCATTTGATATAAATAAATAAATATGTCTTCAACCCATTCCAACATAAAAGGGACTGAGAATCAAGAATTAGAGCCATCATATCTTGAAAGGATCACACTTCTATTTAACCCGGCAAGTTAAAATAATCTTTGTGTATATACAAATGCTCTCTCTTATCAATAAAGGTGATAATGATGGGGACCAGGCCAATATTTGTGCAAATATCCAATAACCGATAGTTAGGTGCCAAGCTTAAAAGCATGCATCCAGTTAGTCAAATACAGATAGTAATGGCGAGCAGTTAGACTTTGAAATTTCATTATAAAGGCGGCTAACTGTTGTTACAATTTTCCTCACTCAACCATTTCCACTAATGACTACAACTTGCACTTGAAATTTCACATTTTTAATAGTAGTTGTTCCGCACCCCCCCCCCTCAGATCCCCCCTCACTCACGGAATATTTAAACTAACGATTAATTATTTCAAATACTCAATAATTCCCTATTTGGTAAAATGTTCTAAGTTACAGGGTCACTAATTTGATTAATAATTAGGGGCTTAGTAAACTACTGAGTTCTGAAAATTTTGGCTATTTTGGTTATAACACTGTTATTCATATATTTGTTATTTATGATGCAGTTGAATAACTCTATTCAAAATACACAACTTGGCAAGAGGTTTAGGTTGAAATAAGTGAGCCAGTTGTACTAGAAAAAAGATAATAACACGCCCAAATTGTGTATTTGAAAGAAATAGACGAAAACTGAACTTTTCATGTTTGTACTTATATTCCTCATAAAATTAAAAAAGGCAATAGTATTAGGGAAAAGAACGACATTAAAAGCAATATGTTGGCTTAATTGCATACATTTCAGCTCAATACTAAATTGAAAAGTTTAAATTTTAGGTATTATAAAGTACTTGTAAGATGCCTGCATTTCTCCTTAAACGCTTTAATCGCTACCCTCCAGTTAATTTATGAGCACATGAATTTTAGAGACAAAATATAAAACTAAGAATAATAATTAATTATCGCAAGATAAGCTGCTGCATATTACGTCAAATGTTTTAGCACTACAAAATAAGTTAAGTTTGTGTAACACTGCCTGCAAAGCATCCGTATATGTGCCTTTGAACCAGACTCACTTTATTCAATTTCGAAAGGATCAAAACCTCCATCAATAATAAAGTTCATAACGTTTGCTCACAGAGTTTAATTTTTTTCTCTTTGAACACGGTTTACTACACTTGGTCGTTGCAAAACAATAAAGTCACCAATTGAAAAGGCAACATCACACGAAAACCTCTGATGGTTGCATTTTCAACAACCATGACAATGTATGAACTAAAGAAAATTGCCACTATTTAATTAGATCATAATCTTTTGCTAATGAAAAACTAATTGGCATGACGGTTTACAACACCGATTATCAAAATCTAGGCATTCATCGATTGATCAAGAGGACACCAAGAATTATAACATTTGACTAGTAAATAAAGCTGGTGGCCAAGCCAAATAATATAACCAACAAGATATGTATAAATTTCTAACTATAATATCCCATTTTAATCTTTTAAAACAGTGATAGATTTAAAATTAATGAATGATTTTTGAAACTGTATTAGTATCATTGAATATGATAAATTTCGAAATAACTTGCAGGTAAATTAAACTAATTAAAAATTTATTTCATTTTTTTGTATTTTTTGCAGTCTTTGAATAAAACTCACAAATTACTTTTTATTTGTTTGAACATATACAATAAGTTTACGGATTAAGGTCACAAATTAATCCGCACTTTGTGAATTTTAGAAGGTAAGGCTATATGTGAGACTGCTCGTGTTAAATCTCATCATTCACCTTGATTTACCATGGATGATTTTCTGAAATCTGATATAATTGTTTGGTGCACTACATTTTGGGACAATGACTCGCCAATACAATTGAAAGATCTTACTGATGGGATATTCTTAAATCGTGTATTTTGTGAAATGTAAGTGACAAATGATCTTCTTTTTTGGTATACCTTACTGTGCTATTTATACACATAGAAAAAATTCTTACATTTTATCCTTCACTGTCTTGAAAGTAATTTTATTTTAGTGCTGAATATGACTGGTCAACTGTAGAACCATTATTAAGTAATACAAGTGTATTTACCCGTCTTCAAAATTGGAAGATGCTTGTAAAGAACCTAGAAGAATATTTTATTGTGAGTTCATAAAACAGGCGTTTGAAAAATTTTATTCGATGTGTTTATATTATGTGGGATTTTTTTAAATTTTAGGAGGAACTTCAGCACTTGGTGATGATTGCTCCTCCTGGTATTTTTGAAATAGTCTTTTCTCCGGCCTCACGTTAGTATTATGAGTTTTTTCACTTGCCACTTATAATGAATTCGTTCTAATATATTTATTTAACTTTTAGCCGCAACCAAAGTTGAGTTAGAACGGGTAACTTTGCTCCTTCTTCTGGCTGCAATTAAATGCAAAAGACGTGAACAGTATATTCGAGACATTATGGATAATCTTAGTACTGAAATTCAGGAAGGCATAATGCAATCTATTACTAGTGTAACTATTTGTTTTCTCTATTCGTGTATCTATTTCTCGCCTTATATAAATGTGTAATGACTCTTTTATAGTTAACAGAGCTTCCGGATACGACTGTGAGTTTAACCGGACCGTACGAACTATCATCAGAATTGAGATACAGTATTCGAAAAGCTCTTTCGAGCAGAGTCGAATTGTATTTTTTGGTACGTTTGCTTTTTGCGTCATGGTCTTGCTTCTAATACTCCTATAGTTAGCTGAGGAGGTCCTACATAAAATTTGTGATCGCCATCCCGACTGGTCACCAAGCAAATCACTTACATCTGGTCAACATGTGAAGAAAGTTGAAAAGGCCTACGGTGTCAAGATAGCACGTAGTCGTTCCCTGGCATCCTCATTGGATTTAATTGGCGTGGCTTTTAAACGAGGTAGTGAAGAAAGGTGTGATATTTCAAAGAGTCCTCAAAGCATTGAAACTGATACAACTGCTACTTCCGAGACTGGATATGAGAGTCGACCACCTACTGATAAGCCAACGAGAGAACGATCAGAACCTGGTGAACACAGAGATTTGGATAATGTTCTCGGTATGATGGAAAGCCAGATCATAAATGATGGGGAGGAGAAGAAGGAAATTGTCGAGCAGATCACTAAGGCGAAAGCCAAATTGCGACAACAATCATTGATAATGTAAGTCGAACCTAAAATTTGATCTACACTTTGAAAAGAATGCGCGTTATAAAAATAGTATGTTGGAAAAACGAAATGATAATTTCAAGGGATTGCAATATTCTTTGTGAAATGGACTTGCACGCACATTGCGTTTTTATCAAAAAGCAATTCATTATTGAAAAATAGTAATTGCTATATGAATTTTTTTTAAAAGTGTTCTTGTCATGTAAATAAACGTCGATAATAGGCGTAATATTCAGTCTGATTGAAGACTACCTTCAATTATGGCAAGCTGCTCTCAATCATAATGTGTTTACATACTTTTAATCAAGTTGAGTTTGAAGTTTGTTGTTAGGTAGTTGTTTAACTGTGAGTAAGCAATAATTATGGGCAAAATTTTCTACAACGCTGTTTGAATGTGTCTATCGAAGACAAAATTCGGCTTGAAGCTAATTGAGAGGTTTATTCACCATTGGTGGTAGAGTCTTCACACAGATTTCAACTGATCTAATCTGTAACTAAGTGCCCTATTGTCTTTTTTTAAGTTCCGAGCAAACAGATCAACTGGAGGAGGTACATTCACAACTCGCGGAAGTTCGAGCAGAAGCTGATCGACTGAGAACGGAACGAGCCAGGCTAGCAGATGCGGCAGCTTCCGCCAGACACTGGAGAGATGAAGCTGACGCAGGCCAACAAGCCATAATTCAGCTCCGTGAATCTGAACGTACTTGCGAAAAGCTTAAACAAAATCTTGAGGCTGCACTGTATTATCGGGTAAGTCACCATTCAATAACGATGATTCTCCTATTAGATCCGATGCCAGGAACTGAACGAGGAATTGGAATCACTTATCAAAGAGCGTGACGACCTTGAAAATCGTCTTTCTGAACAACAGGATGATCAATCAAAGATTCAATGCTTAGATGAAAAGTTAATCGAGAAGACTCAGCGTATATTGGAACTGGAATCGGTGAGTTCATGATCTATTCAACAATTTAGCACATCTTGAATCCATGATCTTACTGCCGGTTCCGTTCATTGTAGCAACGAGAAAAAGATCTTGAAGAAATCTACCGACTCAAAAATGAGGTAGCAGAGACTCGTATCGACGCTATGAATGTATCACGGAAAAGTCTCACCAGTCCACTTTTGTCTGATGAAGATGAAAAGGACATACTTTGTCGACTCCCCAGTCTTCAGAGTGAAACCTCATCCGATCTCATCCTTATCCACCCGCCTAAAACGGCGTCCTGTCAAACTAAGGAAACCCACTACGAGAATATGACTAAGATTCAGAAGGTAAGTTAAGAGCCAATTGAATTAATATGAAGTGCACGAAATGGTGAGAAAAATGAATAAATCCACACGACGTTCGCTCTCTTTTAAAGGTTCCTCAAACCTAGATAATTTAATTTATAACTGTGGTAGTTCAGTAGGCTTATGGTCTTTTTCCCAAGTCATGGGTAAGCTATTGAGTTCATTACCATGACCCCAAATCTGCATGAAATGAAGGAAGTAGTGAAGCCTTCAGACCTATTTGTCGTTCCTAAGCCACTATCTTCAATCTCACTTCATGCATTTTCACCTATGCATCCAACTATATACACGCCAATTAGCATGCATTCATGGCCTTTCATTCAAAATTCGGATCTCGTTTCTCTTCACTATCGACGGCGGTGTCATAAATTAGTATATTATGAGTAATTCCCATTCCCTCAATGTCTCCTCCTCTCTAACTCTAGTATTCTTGCACAACCCCAGGTTTTGAGAATCCAATTAGTCATTAATACCAAGCTTCTCAATTATGAAGCCATTTTCTCACCACTACTAATAGTTTGATATATATATATATATATATATATATATATATATCATCCTTCAGTGCAGTTAGGGTTTAACACCACTCTCTACACAGATGTAAATTACATAGGAGAGATATTTAAGATCTTCCTTAAATAGGCAGACCATCGAAAATGTTTCCACAATAGCGCCCTATCCCCATAATCTTCTGAGTTAGGTAAAAAAAGCAGGATCTCGATAAAAGTTAATCTTTGCTCATCTTGTTAGAAAAGTGTTGTATAATGTTGGATTAAAAGGAGGAAGTGTGGGTTGGATGTGGTGACTACAAATCGAGCATGAAAATTCAGGTGACTGATATTCATGGCAAACAATTTAGGAAATTGGGTCAATTACTTATAATTGAGAGCCTATTAATACACTTTGCAAATCAGAATTTTGGTAGAGAATAAACTGGAGCGACTGGTGATCCAATAGAGTTTCCATTTGAGGCCTTTTCCAAGGTCTTTTTCAATTTGATCATGTTCACTGGTGATAACAAGCCTATGCGGAAAATCTCAGTTGGCACTTTTTCTCCCTCATGGAGATAACTTGGTGATAATGTGTCTACAGCATCGGACACAAAGACCCTTAATGGTAATTAGTGCACTTACAGCTAATGGAATGACCATCTGCACCACTCATTGGTCTTGACTAAGTGGCCATCTAAATCAAAGCAGTCCCATGATTCTCTCTAAGGCATTTAACAGTTAGCGACAATTTTCATCAGCTTTTCTCGCATTTAGATGAATGAGATTTAATGATAATTCATTAGACTTTTTAATATATTTCACTGTATCTAATCCGTATGTAAACGTGCTAATCCCTTATTCTCATATACAGAGCAATGTTTTTATTTCATAACAAAATTATTATAATTGCTAATTACACATATTTATTAAGCGAACGAAAAAAATTCGGCTTATCCATTCATTTGTAGTATTACCAATAGCTGGGAACTTTGAGTAGCAGTTTTTGACAGTCTGAGCACATACTCCTTTGATTATGCAGCACTTAATGAGCTGGGCGAACTAAGTGGTGATTTTCATAAAGTGACTATAGTGTTTCAAGTTCTTGATTTTTAAATTGGACTGAAGATCTTCATGAAGAGCTACTTTTCAAGCTTCCAGTGGAGACGTTGCATGATTACAACTGTAAAACTCGCTAGATTCTACTTCACGTCTAAAATTCCGCTCAATTTCTATGCTTTGCTCGGTTATGATGGGGTTTGTGAGCAATAGCACTTTCTTTTTCGAAATGCATGCTTTATTTTACCCTGGGGTCTGATGTATTCTTTCACCTACTTTATGAGCCTTTAAAAGCACAGATTTTTCTTGAATTCAAGGCAGCTCCTTGTTTACTTAAAATTCTGTTCAAACATGCTATTCCTTATGTGTCCACAATTTGCATTAAAATCTTTTAAATTTTCTCTCCACGCTGCCCAGATAAATTACTCTCGCATACATTCAGTGAGTAAAGTTAACTCATGCAAATTACTTCCTCGGTGAATAATGCTATTATTTATTCTTTTTTTTCCTTGTTTTGTGGAACGCCACTTCCTTGTTTGATGGAGCTGGAACATCTGCATAATTTAAAAACGAATCGTGCTTTTTTTGCATATCGCTCATTCGGTGCGCTGAAAAATGTATTCAGTTGACTTAAATGAAAGAGATAACTGTTATCTTATGGGAAAAGGTGTGTGTGTGTGTATGTGTGTGGGGGGGGGGTTATTTTGAATATGACTGCATCATGTATGAGCTAATCCTTTTCATCTACAACCGCCCTCCCTACTGACCACTCTAGTCCAGAGGTTTCAGAATTATTACAGAACTGATTGAACTGGTTGTTCTTTTTAACAAAAAAATCGGGATTGGAATGTTACCCAATAAGGGAATTGGTAGGCACGAGGATCAATCTCTACGGTCATATTTTCAATTGAATTAGTGTTTTAGTCAACCTCTAATGTAGGTTAGGAGAACCGTAAAGAAATGATCGTCAATCGCAAAGGTACTTTTATAACCTTTCTGGATTTATATCGAGAGTGTAAAGAAAACAGGATGCACTTATTGAGATAAGGCAAAAAATTTGACGAAACGAGAGACTGAGTGTTTGGTTTTCTTAAGGTCAGTGACACTCAACGCCTATCTGCGGGAGTCAGGTGTGATAGGTAGGAAGATGATTTTGTGTCAAACGTTGTCAATAGTGCATTCCCAGAGTTCAGAATGGGTTAATTATGGAGGTGTTCTTTACTATATCAAAAATAGATAACCAAGGCACAATAAAAAGAGAATTTTTTAATTTGAAAGTTAGGTGAACTCTATAGCTGATTTTCCCCAGGTTAGCAACGATAGGTTTTGTGGGAGGAATTATTTTCTATTTGACATTCCCATCATTTTTTGTCATTCGTGATGAGTTCTTGATGATGAGGCCTTCATTAATCCGACGGAATCGAAATCTCTCCAATTTCAAGTGGAGGTGAAATTTATGTTGTTTGATTTAAGACTAACACCAGACATCAACGATTTACCCAGGTCCAGAGGATAGAATTAATAGAACTGCAAGGCCTCTGAACCAAGTTGGCTGAAGACGATGAAAGATGACGAAAACGTTAACAAAAAATTGGATGAAGAAAATGGGTGATGGAATATTGAGAGGGTGTGAGAATAAGGCATCCATCGTAATACCATCGTGGAGTGCCTTATTTCATAGGCAGAACCTGAGTTAGATATAGTTCCCTAAACAATAATCTACAACTGGGACGATTGAATACTGTTCAATTTGTCATTAAAATGAAGTAAGCTCATGCTCTAAATGCGTGCACTATCAGCATTATTTTTGTGTATTCACATTTTGTTATTGATTATCATACATTTCTTGTCCGGATCTACAAGCTTGAATCTCCCTTTTCCCCAAATCCATAATTAATATATATTGTCTGAAAAGACAATAGGTAAAGACTTAACCTTCATTGAAGGTGGATACTTTTAAGAAATTTATAATTTTTTAAAGAGAGATTGCTTAAAGATAAGTGCGGATGGACTTCGTCGAAAGTGGGAGTCCATTTGAACTTCGAAAAGTACATCAGAATTTTTCGCGTAGTTTCTCCAACGGCATGAGAAACCACAGCTCTTAATGATTTTTTATTCCATCAGAGTGTGTATTTCCATGACGATCCATCACTGTTTTTGCAATCATTTGGCAAGTTCCCAATCTTCAGAGTGTGTCAATAACTTTTCCCAGTTTTGCTCATTACAGACGACTGGAGATCTTTGTTGCGTGAAGTTATTCTTCACATAACCTTGAAGTGTACACTTAAGTCGATTGTCGCACCTATGTCTCTTCCTACTTGCAAATTTCTAAAATTTTCAATTCATGTGTGTCAAATCAATACGGTAATTGCGTTTTACGCGTCACCTACTAAGGTCAACTGTCTAAAAGAATGCAAAAAAACTAGTTTTCGAAACGTCTTAGATTCTCATTTGTATATTATTTTTGTGTAAGAACGTAGACACTGGTTCAAACCTGATATGGCCCAAAGCTGAGAGGGAGATTGACATGAGGCTAATGGGGTTGGCTTTAATGGTGTCGAATTTAGAATCAGAAACGGTCGGTGAAATGATTAGTCATCGTGCCCCATTTGGTCTTGTGATGGACAGGTTGACCGTTCATGTGCTGTGGTGTCCGATCGTAAAATTTGATGACCTTTTTATAAAGACTTCTCTAGTTCACTCCTTCCCCTTTTTAACCTCGTCCTAAATCCTCCTTGAAATCCAATCCTTTCTCCATTCATTTCAATCAAATTTTAAGTTTCAATCAGAACAAAAATCACATTTTTATGACTGACATCTTGCAGAAAATAGTCCTATTGTTAATCACGTAAAAATGGAGGTCAAAGGATATGGAAAGAGAAGACAATTAAAGGAAATTTTTGGCATTATTTGAACCATTCACGATGCTGATGACGCTGCGTCTAACAGTGTTTGTAGGTAAATATGCAGTTAGTATCAATGGGTTGGTACTCAAAAGTCTTGGTATATATTCAAAGCTTAGCATTGTCTGATCAGCAGATTGAACTGAGTACGTAAGTTTAGTAGCTGATAGTGGAGAGGAGGTTGGCAAAATGTTGAGAGAATAGTTAGGTTATCAAATAGGCCTACTTCATTTCTTTTATTTGAATTTGAGTTGCAGCTGATTAAGTTAATGACTAGACCGCATTCCAAAATTCGTACTTCATGATCTGTCATATATAAGCAGTGCTTATTAATCAGTTGCTTATAATATGGAGATCTTGTCTTAGTACTTCATTTCATTTTTCGTTCAAGCTTGAGCAAGCAAAAGGATTTTACGAAAATTTATTTATATCAAATGGCAGGCATTTTTGTAGCTATCATTAGCCCTTTAGCTGACTTTGGGCGCCACGGAGGGAAGGAACATCAAAGTGAGAAAAATTCGAAAGAGGGAAGAGAAGAGTGATTCACAGGTGTAAAAGAGACGGATAGACACAAAGGCAGAGAAAAGGTAATAATACTACTTTGGAAGGGGTCGAATATGACATACAGTGGGGTGATGGTAGCTTGAAGTCAGAAGTCAACTGCCGGTTTATAGACTTTTTACCGTGGGAGTATACATTTCCCAGGGTTCACCACGTGGAGGTAAGTCTATCGCACACCCCGGATCTTACGACAATGAGCAGTTTATATGATTCTCCTATACCACATCCCTTGGTGCTTTCACCTTCATGTACATATTGTACTGAGAACTGCTAGAATTTAGTGATCTTACTATAGAGCTTGATAGATCATTCCAGTTATTGGATTAGCAGGAATGCCATTTGAGTTCACAACCTCAGTACTGATACACAGTGGCCTGGCTGTCATGAGTGATCACCTAAAATCAATGTGTGCATACGTGAAAAATGTAAGCCTATTCTGTCTTAGTTACCATTTCTGTTGGCATCTATTCTAAATATGCAGATAACTATGATAATTGTATAATTATTCAATCATGGGCAAACATCTGATAGTAGGTAAATCTGACATTAATGGGTGAAGGTGGAGGGGAAGTTGAGAATAAAGTCAGATCATCAGAGGAAATATGAAGTCTCAGGGTTTTCCACTTTCTTACGAAATGGGTCTCTACCTCACTGTTCCAAAGGGCAAATTTCCGGTTTTGACCACTAGATCCCCAGGTGAGTTCATGTCCTCGATTTTTGCCAGTTACTAAGTTGGGGGATTCGTTATAAAATTTCCATATGGCAGTTTTCTGAATCTCGATTAGACTTTTTTAACATATTAGAGATCAATGAAGTCCACAAAAGGTGAACGCTTCATTAAACCCCAGTATTTACTTATTTGTCAGACAGGCAAATAGACATTGGCTGATTACATGTTGATTTGATGGGAAATTGCATCTTAATTACATGATTCATTCGTATATTAGGAGTGCAGATAAGAAATCACGCGTTATATAAGCAGATATTTGAGTTCACTTTATGACCAAACCCGATAAAAGGAGAGCATTATGCAAGCTTTTCTCTCATCTACTAGCAGTTCAACTATTTTATCGCTAGAGGAAAAAATGTTTAACTCAAAAAACGTCAGACGTTGCCTGGTGCTTTTTTCACATGGGCTTGAACATGGGCAAGGTTACTACGACCATTACGAAACCTATGGTTAAGTGCCTAGATTTTGCAAATTTTGGTTAACAAGAATTCAATAAGGCAATTGGAAATTCGGATGACCAGCAAATCTTGATGAAATAGTTATCGTAGAAACTCATATGACCATGGTCAAGTGCGGAGTCATGCTTTAACCTCATCCATAAACTGAATAGGATGAGGATTCGGGTGCCGTCGCAACAGCTTTGTTGTGGAGACAAAGAATAGCTCTTAATTAGCACCGAATTGTTTATTGTGAAGTGGATCGATTGCGACGGAGCTACTAGAGGAAGACAACAATGCTTGTCTCAAAATCAAATTTCCATTCCACTAGCTAAGCCAAGCTTGGTGAGGCTCTTCGGGAATTTCTTATGTGCACTTGGTGGGATGTACGTGAAATGATCCATTAACAGCTACCGCAACAGACCGAAACAGTTAGCATAAATTTATCATTTTCAGCAATTGGAAATACTATACCAATAATTAAGGGATAGATATCCAAGTTGACTTAATGGAAAAGGGACTGTTCTTCGAAATGACACTACTTCTCAGCCCTCTATCACGAAGTAAGAATTACCCCCCTCCTTACAACGTCATTTCTATCTTCTTTTACATCTTTAAATCACTTTTCTGCTCTCCCTCTCGAAGTCAGCTAAAGGGCTAGTGATAACTATCAAAACGCCTGCCATTTGATGTAAATACATTTTCTTTTGCTTTATTGAGATCAACTACTAAATTGACTTTGTAAATCTCGATTCTGGGAGGAGTTGGTATTAATGTGACAAAATAAGTGGAGGTTAAAAAACAACCTTCACGTCACTCCAATTCAAAATCTCTTTCCTCTCCGGGCTTTTAAAATGTTTGACCTTGACATTTTTTAAGGACACGTCCGTCTGGTCAGGACATCGGCAACCCCCGGACATGCGAGCATATAATTGGCTATGGCCCCTTTTAATTGTAAGGTAGAAGTACTGTTAAACTTTTCAGTGTCACCGATGTGGGGTCTCAAACACACCATCACTGCTAATAGATCTCAACTTAAGTGAACTTTAGCTAATTATGTTGCGTTAAAAAATGTCATGGGTCACGTCAACTTCCTGGTCTTGGCTATAAATGTGGTGACTATTGAGAAGGCGAGATTAGGGATCAATGACTAAATGAAATCAGAGTGTCAAGAGAAGTAGGACTCGCTTGATGTTCTATTTTAATTTGTTTTTCCAATGTGACCTCTGCTCCTGTTGTGCTGGTTTTTTTCACCTACTTTGTGTACTTCCAATGAACAAAAAATCGGAATCTTTTTTCTTTACCTCTAAAAATAAGATGCGCATCTTACATTAAATTATTATACGTTATTAAAATGGCAGTTTGGATAGTTCAGGCTGTTTTGTTGCAAAGTATATTTTGGTCATGCTTGCATTTGTACTCTGTCCTATTTTTTTTCAAATAGGAACTGGAGCAGACAGTTGAAAATTGCTCATCCCAATTGGAGCGAATTCGATCTAAACTTGACTCCATCAGTGGGATTGAGAAGACACAACCGTCACCTATCCAGTCTAGTAAAGATCATGACAACATCGGCTGTCGTGTTGAATGTCTCATGGTAGATCTTGAACAGGCAATTCTCGATGTCATCACTGCCATCCGAGAAAACGACAAGAAAATAGCCGATTTGGAGGAAAAGACGTAAGATATAATAGTAGATTTAAAAGAAACAAAGCAAACTAGTTTGCATGTTCTGAATTATTTGAACTCTTTAGTCATTAGTTATGTTAATAATAAAAATAAAATTATCCTTTTCGATAGTGATGAAAATATACGTAATTGTCCTTCTACAATATCATTTTAATCATTTCATAATTATTTTTTCCCACTACTAGAAGGTAAAATGTGTTTTTATAGGATACGTTACGGCACATGTTAATATTTAAAATATTTAATTTTGCTTTTTCGCTATCCCAATGGAAAATATTTTTAAAAAAATTATCTGTTTTTTTAATTTTATTATTTTTCCATTAGACAGAAGAAACGTAACACACGGCCAGTGCTTGTGCAAACGGAGAATATCCTACCGGGGATAGACGAGAGAGCGTTTGAGCAATCTTCGAATGGATTGAGAACGCGTATGCAATCAGCGCAGTCGACCTTTCAGGACAGTGCCGAGTCATTGCGTGATATTCTCACCGACGCAATGTATCAAGAGCTAAAGACGAATATTGGCCGTGACATGGATCAACCTGAACGCAAACCAGATCAAGCCGCTAAGTACACTCAGACCTCTGGTCTCTATGTAAGTCGCAACGACTTCTCAACCAATGGCAGAAAATTTTACGAAATTAGTCGTTACGGTTGCTGTAATTATAAATCAATGATTCAATCAATTCAAACTAAACTAGTAATATAAATGATCAAATTATATTTATTTATGTATTGTAGGCGAGGTTTATTTTGAGTTTTCGTATTGAAACTCAGTGGTGCGAATCCAGTAATGAATTTTTCAAACCACCTTTGATTGGCAAAGAAAAAGTCTAGTTCCTATTTCCAAAACTTTTTTTGAATCCTCAAGAAGGGAAACTTATACCATGTCCAGATTATGCCAACTTGATTAAGGTGCCAATGTGGTTTGTCTGTTTTTTCGAACTGCCAAAGTTAAAATAGCCGACGCTTTCGCTTCCTGTCTCTAAAATCGTAAGTCATCACTTCGAATCAATGAAGTAGGAGCCTCCAAGTGTAAGTAAGTGTTTGGAGAAAGGTGAGCAATCATTATCTCCCCGTGAACGCATTTACCCTTTGTCAAGAATGGCGGTCAACAAGGACTTCCAGTATCTAATTTCTTGCTGGTTTAAGGCGACTATAATGGTACATATCAAAATATCACACTCGACGTCTCTTGAAAATATCCTTAAGGAAACAGCAACACGTATTTTTCTTGGCCGAGCGGTGAAGAATGAGATAGTTTAAATCCCATCAATTACACCCCCATTCTCCTCCACCCCCTCCCCCCCCCCAATTAAATTCTCGCCTGTCCAAATATCTTGTCTATAGTGGTTGTTGACAAAGAGCTACATTATTAGTCAAGTGGAGGGATGGAATGAGTGGTTCATTTGTATAAAATCAGGGTATCTTTTTTCCAGTTTAAGTATGGGTACTCTTAGCATTTCCAATAATGAGTTTCTGAAACTCTTGTATTCAACATCGCTCGTATGTATGAAAATTTGAAAATTTAACCGTTAGTAATTCCAAAAGGGTAATTGAAGGTACTTTTATTTGGTTAGACAATTCTTTAAGGCATGATTAGGTTTTACTGCCCAAAGTAATTTTTTTTAACTTATTAAATGCATTGTGACAATTAATACTAACAAACACTGACCATATTCATGAACATTATGCAGGTGATTTTATCGAATTACGCGTCAAGAAATACGTGTAGCAGAACTAGTATCTCTAAGAATAGAACGATGTTACTTGAAAGGGTTTTGTGGTTAGATGGTGCTTTCTTAGCCATTCAATGGGCAAACATTCTCACTTTTATCGACAATGAAGGATGTTTGCAGTGAATGCTTAGTAATGGCTGCTGAGAATTTGGTAAGAAAAATTTCACTTCAAATTAGAGCGCAATAAAAGGTTGTATCTAAAGAAGGTTTTAATTGGCTTCCTAAGCGAGACACGATCTATATGGAGGTACCAGTTTGCAGCCTTCTCACCCATTGTACCTCTCTCTAAGAAGGGATTCCAATCTGGAGATGGTATTGTTGCAGTCCTCGAAGAAGATGCTGACTCTGTATCTTATCATCATACATTGGTAGAACGTAGAATATAAGTGATTAAATTAACAGGCTTACTTGAATTTGGAAATACTTTCTCAAATACAATATTTATCCAAATTCTACTGTGCTCGAACTAAAAGGATGATAAAATATTTCAAAATTAGTTATTGGGTTGTCTTAAAGCTACGAGATGAATAATCCAATTTCCACCTTTGGTCAATTGAAATCATAAAATGTTTCAAATTGTTTGATTTGCAGTCCTATAAGGAAACCGAGTGCCAGACATCGAGCGAATGTCAACCAGAACCGATTTTAAATGGAGGTTCTCGTCTCTACAGAGTATACAATCAGTTTGGAACACCTCTCCAATTAAGTGTCGTACAACCAAGCAGAATTCAGCCATCAGGTAATGTTCCCTTCACACACCCCTTCTTCCTCCCTCGAATTATCAGAGGCGCCAATTCGTTTAAATTTCACTCACACTCACTTACTTGAGCCGTTTGCAATTTGGTGTTGCAATCTCACATGCTGAGAATTGGGGTGGGGGGGGGGGGGGGGGGGGGGGGGGGGAAGATACAGAAGATTTTGGATTTACAAACGAATTTAGCTTTTAATTGTTAAATTTTGCCGGTAAATGGACGAAATTTTTTCGCATCAAGACATGTCGCGTCGGTTCATTAGCGTCGCGGTTTTGTTTTAATTTTCGTTTTGGAGGGAGAAAAAAGGCAATTGGTGCCTCGTTTGTTTCGGATTCAAGCAAATGCGCACGCAAAAAAATGCGTACAAAAAGTTCTCCAAAATGTTCCATCCTTCATCTAATTTACATAGTCTGACTAGGTCTGAGGAGTGGAAAAAATGTAGGTGCCTAACGTGTTAGGATCGAAAGGTACTACCAACTAAGGGGAGGAGGGGGGGGGGTATAGTTACAAAGTACCATTAGAAGCACTAGTAAACTGGAAAATTTAGTGATCATTGCATCATTGTTATCCTCACCCTCTTCTTGTTGCAGGTGTTGAGAACGGAGTCGGTCCTAAGATGACTCGTGTCACTCACCAAGGTGTAAATACCCCACCAATGGTAGGTCAAATGCAGACTGCTACTAACGAAGCTGTCAGAGCGGCCCTTCTTCAAGTTTCGGAGGCGAAATCACGCATAGCTTCGCTCACGAGGGAGAACGATGAGGTGAATGAACTGCTGAAATCAACCCAACATGACCTAGAGCATTGCAGAGACTTTCTCAAGGTAAGTGACCATATCAACAGCTTATGGCACTGTGCTAACTACATTCTTAACAGTGAAGTTGAGTGATGTGCAGTGAGAAATAAATCTGTTAATGGTTATTGGCAATCACACTGGCAGTCACCGTCGGTGCAGTGAGAGTTTGGATTAGTTTTTTCTCTAAATTCGCTTGTGGAGTTCCGTTTACTAAAATGATTTTCCATGCTAGCTGATTGATGATTTACAATAATTTAATGACTCGAAAGTGAATTCTCATATAAATAATTTTGTTGTCTCTATGTACTGGGATCACTGGAAACTGCGTAGACTTGATCTTAATGCATACTTCTTGGAGGATATTCCAAGTATTGCGTTCAAATTTTTAATCTGAGAAGTTATTTACTATTGACAAAATCGATTGGATGTGTGAAGTAGAGTCAAAATTTCCTCTTGTTTGTTGATCTAATTGTATTATGCCTACGCACAACTCCAGTCGAAATCCTTGAAATTGGCTTGAAAACGCTAAAAGCTTTGTCTGCTTAAAACATACTCCTTAAATTAATCTTACTGGTGTGCTAAAGTTGAAAATCGCTTTCAATAGATTCTATAGCTCCGTTTAAGCCAGGGTGATTAATCATGAATAGCGTGGAGTATTGGAGGAATGGAATTAGTCAGCCTGTCAGTCAATGTTTTTTCCCGAACCTACTACATTTTTTTGGAAAAATTTTTCATCCATAACACAACTTGTTATTGTCTCTCATTATGACAATCACCTCTCTTGACACCAATACCATCAAAGTGATATTAGTTCACAACTGGTACACTGGTCCATCCCTCGTCTGACAACCTAACTATTTGCATCTGCCACCAATAATGTGTCGGCTTAAATACATATACCTACCGTATGCTGTACTATCTGGTCCACAGATTACAGCATTGTTCAAGTAGTTGAAGCGGTTTAAATTATTTGGAGGGCTTCGTTTTGCAAACGTTTATGTCCTTTTCGTTTCATTTTCTCCTGAAATGCTGTCTATAGTCTACTGAAGGTAAACCTCCATTGTCTTCCCCCAATACCATCTTCTAAGAAGTTGAAATTTATTCTATTTTACTAATAATCGCGCAAATAAATGCTATTTTGTTGTTAGTTGAAAGTGGACGTGGGTGGCCCTTGAATAAATCAGGTCCCAATCCATGTTATTTCCACTTCAGTAGTATTATATAATTAATTAAGTGATCAGATATTAATGGGACGTTCAGCGAAAATTGGCATTGCTATTTTGAATTATTTTTTCCCCAGGAATCTTGATTAAATTGGCATTTGTATTATTTTGTTAAACGGGTCAGATTTTCGGAAAACTTTATCTTGTTTTAAGCAAAGGTTTCATTGTGTTTCGACTTAAATTTATATAACTTTTCTTTCCCCCATTAAATGCTCTCATTGCTTGTTTATTTTTTTAATAAATTTATTTAAATGAAAATTGGTGCTATTGATGCTAAGCTACATCTTCTGAAATCATTGCGATCTCTGACATTTGACCGAAGTTAAATTATTCCATTGGCTGATGCCGTTTACAGCCACTATCCGCCCTAAGCAATTACGATAATTCTTTTCCTATTGACCGTCAAAAATTTGTTGCTACTGTCGATTCACTTAGTGCCATGCTATGGGCAATACCATTGAGCAGCCGTCTTCCTCATCTTGGGTGTGACCGCTGGTGATTTCGCCTAGGGCGTGTCGAAATTGGTCAGATAGTGAGTCACCCGCTTTTGCGCACCATTGTCCTTCCCATCCGGTCATGCCATTTTGTATTATTTCTTGTTTCCAGTCTTATGAAACCAGATAGATTTCCCTACCCCTTTTAATATATAGGGTAGAGTTGCTTCATCCTCGGGAGTAATTGGATTTGCTAACTGACTTCCAAGCTCTTCAAGAAAAGTTCTTTGTAATGCTTATCTTGGAAACGAGCTCAGGATTTTGGAGTCTCTTGGGTAAGAAACTTGGATTCAATCACCTTGTCTTTAATAAATATGGGAGGTCATCCGATGCTAAACGAAGCTGTTAACACCGACCCTCAAAGACGTACACGTTACTAAACGCGCCACAGACCCATATTTGATATACTATGCAAATTATTAAGTGGGATTGCTGTTGCAGAAGTGAACTTTCTCACTCTTAGGTGTGGCTTATATCCATATTTATCAGTGTATTGTTTCATATAGAAGAGACTAACAGTTCTCACAATCCTCCTTTCTTTTAATGTCTTCTTTTACCATCGCAGATTGGGTTACGGAAGCCTTTTATGAGAACGAAATGAACTTTAGACTTGTGCCTGTGTTTATCTTTTCGACATTCGCTGTGAATGGATTTGCAATCCATTGTTGCACTTGGGGAAATTTGAATCCTTCTATGAGCTGCTATTATTCTGGAAATAAAGAAGAGTGAAAATCCCAATGATTTTTTTCTCATTCATGCGAATACATTTTTTTCCGATGCGGTGTATTAGCTTTGCGCCTTAAGCCGTGAAATTGGCAAAATATTTTTTTATTGATTTGAATTGAAATTGTTTATAATTTTCTGAAATTACAAATTATATTTACTTTTTGTGACTTTAGGTAATGGTAAAATAATTGTCGATAGTATCTAAAGAAGCGAGAACGATGTGGAATCAAGTGTTTGCAATATTCTTAGCGGGGTTCTTAAAAATCTGTTGGAATTCGTTCTTTTTGCTTTAAAGTTTGCTATTATTGTTTTACCATACTCACACCAAGTGATAAAGTCTCACTACTGTCATCTCATGGATAATTCAAACTAAAAATATATATTCTATATTTGGCATTTTGGTTAATTAATTTGAAAATCTTCGTTAAAAGTACTCCTCAGAGTTTAGGGCTTTGGGTAGAAACCAGAGGGTCTATAACGGTTAAAACATTTATGATTTTATTTAGTTGTATATTTCCTATTTAAATAATTTTATCCTTCAAATTTTCGACAACTCTAAAAGTGAACTTTGTAGTTCAAAACGAAGAAGAAGGTGGGAGTTGTAATCTTTTCGATTTAATATGCTACGCTTTTCGTCTAAGCATGTGCTATCGAGTGTAGCCATAAGATTAGTTGATTAAATACACGATGAGTTTAGAATTTGATGAAAATGTTAAAGAGTAGTCTGTCCTTTAGTTGTGGGAAATTAGCTCTTTTATCGGAGTGTTTTTACGGTTGAATAGTTTAAGGTGTCCAATTCTCTCGTATCCACAAAAAACCCCCCAGAAAAATCAGCATCGCTTTCTGAACTTCTAAACATTGTCAGTAATGCCTACCCTTGTCCTGTTATCGTTTACTATATGAACTTTAAACTACCGACCATGCGAGCAACTTCTGTGAAGTAGAGAGCCTTGCGTCTACCTTCGGGCATGTTTCGTCATAATGAATTTTAAAGTGATGTCGTTTCATAACCACATGCATAAATATATTCACGAACCCTATCAAATTCCTATCGAGTCACCGTAGGCAATTTAAACGGATTTGTAGCAATAGTAGTTGAATACAGACGTTTTTATAAGCTTAAAACCTCTACCCACATTCATAATCTTCTAATATGAAACTGGTTTGAAGTAGTTTAATCATATGGGGTAGGCTCTCACGAAAATTTCAAATACTATTTCACAGGAATAGTCTAGTAAAAAGAAACCCTGAAATACATAGAAGAAAACGTGTCTTTACTAAATCGCATCATTGTTGAAGAAAAGGCACAAAGTCGAGAATTTGATCTTCGGAATCCAAATGCCTACGCTACAAGATATCTATTTTTCCTCAGTCATTACCAGCCTGGACATTATAGCGGTGATACTGATTTCATATGATGAAATCACAGTGTCTATTGCGCATCATTTATCATTGTCGAGGCAGACAGAAAGGCTGCCTATGACAATATCTCTGCCTGCGGATTGTGCATGTGTTGCAGTACCTTCATGAATGCATGTATTCAGTGTGAATCACTGCTCTGCTCTGCAATAGTCCAAGTGCCTGGCTATGAGCTCGTCTTGTGGTATTGAATTTAGAACAACAAACAATGACTCCCACTCCTAATTCAATTACATGTGCACACATACACACACGCTCTTTTGTTTTGAATTGGTTTATTCGCAAGTTGAAATTCATGAGCAATATAGAATGCTTCTAAGAAAAAGAGCTAACATTCTAGTAAATATTGATTTGCTAAATTAATGGAAAAGTCAGCATATTGAACAAAATGCAAGCTAGAGACAGGAGTTATTGCCAATCGACATATGCATCTCTAATACCTATCCATAATACATAAATTGATCTATAAGAGCTTGTAAAAGACCTCGGCTGAATGAATTTTATGTTGTCCTTATTTTACCCATATTGACAATTCAATTTTTCATCATGCCGAAAGTCATTTTGAAATAGTTAGGTTCCACAGGTGAGCATTCTTATCTTGTGAATTGCTGATTGATTTAGAATTTGCACGTTCGATAGTGAATCCATACTGGTTAATAGAGGAATTACAGAACGCCAGTTTCCATTTTCAGAATACCCTGTACCACAGACAAAGCTTGTTCAGAAACCCGGAAATTTTAAATTTTGGTCATGAAATATCTACCAAACAAAATTGTACAAACCGATAACCCACTTTGTTATCTCGATTTTACTCTCAATATCTCTTAAATCCTCTTTTCCTTGTTTTGCGGAATTAACTGTTAAGTTTTTTCCTATTTCTTTTTTTTTCAATTGTTATACTGTAAGTTATAATAACCGAGTCATATACATGAAATTGATCCAATATTGTACTAGGTGATTTAAAGCCATAATTGCAGCTGCAATTATTTTAATTGTCATAATTCAAACATTTAAGATTAGAAATGAGCATAATCACTGTCTATTAATTGATGAATTTCTTTATTTTTTTATTTAGGAATATGAGAAACGGAATGCCTACTTGGAAAAAGAGAACCGCACACTTTTGTTGCAGCTAAGGTCACTACTATCTCAAAATCAAGGTGTTGTTACGGAGGCTCTTGAGAATAATGAATGCCATTATCGGGAAAAACTAGCTCTTCGGTAAGAACGAGACCATAATTTCGTTTTATTGTCATCAACATTCTAATTGGGTTTCCTTCTGGTATGAATAACATTAAGTTCACATTTTCACTTTATAATTGCCTTTCTAAACTATAATTAGTGTGAGCTTTGCTTGGGGGTTCTATTGCCGCCCCCCTCCCCTGATTTATGATCTATGAGAATGTAAGGCCTTAACAGAAATAAACGTAATTAGCTTCCCCAAAATTTACTAATAAAATTACATGGAATAATGTTGTAATTCTACATAACTATCGATTTTAGAATGTGCATATTTCTTGATTATTGGTTATTTATTTAGTGAACTTCTTATAAATAAATTCAGATGGGAAAAATGTATAACTAACTCGTGTTTTTGTTAAATAAAATAATTATTGTAAAGAGTTAATGTTAATATATAAATATTTATTTACTCATTATTTCTAGCTTAAAAATAAAACCAATCAAACTGCAGCATCTGCTTCGCATACATTTTAGTAGAAAATTTTAGACAATAGCATATTGAGCTTTAATAACAACCTTTTAATATCAGAAATGCAATTGGGAATATCATGAAGCTAGTATGTTTGTATATCTCCTCCAACACGAATAATTTAATTTAAGCAATTGAATCATTATACGCGGTTTATCTTTAGTTTTGCCAAATAAAATAATCACCTAAGCTTGGCACATACATTTGCCGCTAATTTTGACCTCAACGCATCGTCTAAAATTCAGATTTACCGAAATGCATAAACTGGATTGTCTAGACTTTTTTTGCCTAATTTATACAAATTCAGAAGGCTTGGTTAAATCACGCAAGAACTTCCACCAATTCCAAACATTTTTTCAAGATGTCTATTTTACTTGAAATTTTAGAATATAGGTAAGCTCCTTTCCTAATATTTAAAACAATTCAGTTTGATTAGCCAACGCCTGTTATTGGTTTTTCATTTTTTATGGAAGTGAATATAATTCTTTAAGATGCTGTGAATGGAGGTGCATCGAGGTACGTGATTCAGTACCGTTTGGAAGTGAAAATTTCACATCAACTGTTAATGAAACATGAAGAAATATCTCCCTTCCTAAATTAACAGTACGTCTGAAACGATATAAACTTACCACTTTAAGTAAAGACAGCTCCAATCATAAGTAAAAACTAGAAAACTATACAAACTAACCTCTTATAGAACTGTAAGAACTGATGAACCTAAACCACCTCGTAGAAGCACAGACTGCAGCCATCAGGTAACAACAGCGATTAGTAGTTTCAAAAAAAGTAGACCACAAGGAGTTGTATCGGCCAAAGTACATTGACTAGGGCATGATGATGAGGATTTGAGAGAATGAAGGGGTGGAGGGCGGGGCGGGGGGGGGGAGAGGAGATGGGAGGCAAACGAAGTTAAGCGTGTGCAAATTTGCGAGTGGAAATACGCAAAAACAGTTTATATGAGTCATTTGGGCAAAGACGCGCGCGAAGGTATGAGTGTAGGTATATTTTTTTTGCAGGCAGATTAACAGATAGGATGAAAAAATATGTATTGAGCAATTGGACTTGAATGAGTGGAGAAAAGGAGGAATGTGTAGAAGGGGAGCTGTGAGGTGAGTACGATAAGGAAGTTGACCGATTTAGCGTTCTTGTTCATCGGCGCTTAAAATAGTCCTAAGTCAGTTGGCGTATAATACATAGAGATAGTGAACAGAGCTTTGAATTATACGGCATTGGTATCGCAATTAATTACTATCTACTTGCTTTCTTCTTGTTATTCCTAGTAAAATCCGTTATATATGGATTTTAATCCCAACACACCAATTTAGAATTTTAGCATTTGTTACCAAAATGTAACAGAGTTAATGAAAGGGATAAATTGTTAGTTTATCGAATAAACGGAAGATTCAACCCTGGTAGCCTGACTTCCCGTCAATTTTTTCCCTAAATTGATTTACAGGTAAACTTTATCCACACTGAATTCACTATTGTCTTTTGAACAAAGTGAAGTGTTATTTTTTTGCTTTTCCGGACTGTGATCTTCATATTTAATTAGCATATTGCTGATAAGACGCTTATTCACGCTGAGTTTATTAAACATTCTTCATTTGCTATGTAGTGATGAATTGGAAACCATTAATCGCTACAAGGATCGCTTAGAGCAGAGGCTACTTGAACACTACAAGAATTCCTCCTCTCCTAAAAAGTACGTTGACTACGCTTTTTACCCTGTCTGCCCCATAATTGCCATTTTTTTGGGTTAAACCTGTACTCGCCTTCATCTTTTGCTTAGAAACTGATCGGGATAATTCAACGACTGAGGAAACGAAGGATACCCATGATACCACTACTTAGATATTAAGATAGAATGGGATAAATGTAAACACAGACTGCGCTATATCTGGTTTATCTTGTTATAACATTTAAAAGGTGTTAGCAAATACATTTCCGTCAGAATAATGCAGATATGAGTATCTATGGTGAACGTTTTAAAGGAGATAGTCATGAAACGGAAATACTCAGTTGAAGCCAATTAACCGTTCTACTTTTGTGAGAACGCGATAGATCCGCTCATCCAGTCTCTCAATTTTGTTCCTTTTGTTCACTTCCTATCGTCCTGTGAAATGCATGACCATGGTGATTTTAAAGGGAACTTTACCAGGTAAAATGCTATTTCCCCCTTAACAGCCCTCAAAATGGGTTCAATATCAAATTATTCCCGGAAAAATGGCAGCTTGATGGAACAACAAATATGAATAAGCTATAAAGGAATCGAAGATTTGCAGTTTCACTCTTCTCCGAATAAATGCCCCATTCAAAACCATGCCTTTTGTAATCGCTTTTTGTTTTCCTTCAAAATCAAGGAATGCTTGACCATCTGAAATGCTCTAACTCTTTGATATGGGATAAATTAGAGCATTGAAAAGCTGTTGAGAATAAAGGTAACGTATTATAATAGCCCTATTTTTGGGCTTAACAATGTATTTCTAACGTGTTATTCACTTCTGCATTTTACGAAATCCAAACTGCCTGACTATTATCTTGGTTTGGTCTTAAAAGGTCGATCTTGCAGCCAAAATTTAACATGTTAAATTGCATTAAAGCTGGAGGATACTTCCATGTTATCTTCAAATGCCTGTCTTCTAACTAGGTATGCTCACGTAATAATGGCTTTTAAGGAAAATTTTTGATGTTTCTCATTTTGAAATACTACGGGGGGGATATGTTTTAACCAATAACTCCCATCATGAGGTATCTTTAAACAGTTTTCAAGTCACTCGTCATGAACTTACAGGGCCCCTACTCTGGAAGCCGTCATTCCATGATGAACCCATTTTAAGATCTCTGTGACTTTTCTCTTGAATTTTCCAATATCCTTCTACTGGTTGCTCACGCACGTATACACACGCACACACACACACATACTCACCTGTCGATTCAAAACTGGCGCCTCTTAGATTAAACAACCTTAAATTGATGCAAGGTTTTGCGCTGAATTGAAGGGTGAAAGAATCCAGCTTGCTAATGAACTGTATTACAGTGATGAATTTAACTATTTGAAAGAGGGAAAAAAATGGTGTGCTATTGTTCGTTTTATTTTTTTTCTAAATAGAGTCAAGCCTTCAATCAGCTTCCTCCAGAAGGCTCGTGATGCACTTATAAAGGTGAGTCTAATTATATAAAAAATGCTTGAGTGAAAAGATTTCAATAAATTGAAAACTTGAATATTCGATCATTAGTCAAATGCAATAATTCAAACCCACTTACGCCGCAATGAAGCCCTAAAGGTAGCCATTTAGCATCCACGTATTGTAGTTTAGTTGCACAAATAGTGGTACTATGCCATTGTCACATAATATTGTCATTTTATTTTTCTTTACTTTCAGGATAAAGAAGTTTACAAGCTTGATAATAGTCGCTTAGCGGCCGAAAACACTATTGAACCAGGTGAGATCTATGACATTGTTAATTACCTCGCATCACGAATATTATTTGAGCATCTCTAAGGTGTCTAAAATTACGTTCCATATGATGCTTATAAATACCCTCAAACTTTTTTGCTAAGAGAAAAGACTGACAGCTGGCACTGTTGTATTTAGAAATCAAGAGAGTGGACCTTCTTTCTGCACCGAAAAGTAAAGCTGAAGACGATGGGGACTTTGACGATGGATACCTCAAAGACTTCCAGAATTTTATAAACAACTTGGAAAAGCGGCAGATGAGCCTCAGTCCAGTAGGTTATTGTTAACACATCTACTAATATTAATAAGTAGCGTTAATTATGCTTCTTGTCAATTATATTAGACGTGTATCGAAACCCAAATATGTGACTCGAAGTCCTCATCAAGACCACCATCAATTAATTCTGCGCCTTTACCCAGAAGATGCTTTTCAGAGCAGCAAGGAAGAAGTATGCGGAATGGGTCTAGCACTGATTCTGAATATACAGGTAATGCGACTTTCGGTAGAGCAAAAGACAACTTGTCAATAAAAACTATATGCAGACTTAATTTCTTCCGATAATTCTAGACAAATCAAGCCTCTCATTGCGTCTGCAACTATCTCCACATTTTCCAGTCACGGACAGGTCGGAAGAAGATCGTAAGTTCGATTGCATTCGTCAATGTACAATGTAATCTGTCTTTTCAAATATCTCATTTGCATTAACAGCGATGATTTGTGAGTTACTTGCATGCATTAGGAGGACACTGGTAGCTCTCAACACAAACGAATCTTTTCAAATTACAGAATTTAATGTTACCTTTTTTGCTATTCTAGGGGTCGAGGCTTATACACCAAATTCAATTGTGCCCTCTCATAGGAAAAGCATCTTGGGAAAGACCAGCTCTCTTACTAACTTCCCAACTCAAGATAGAAATTCATTCATGGAATCTCGAACTAATGGTGGTGTGAACCTTCAAAAAACTCAGTAAGTTGTTGTAGAGTTAATCTGTCACTTCTTTATGGCTTTCCTATGCCCACATTATTTGTCTAGGCTACAGTTGACTCTGGCCAAAGGAGGAGATGACAGCAGAATACTCAAGGTCGATTTAAGGGATTAAAATTGTCCTTCATGAAAGTAGGAGTTGATGGTTAATCCAAAGATTGGATGAATTTTTTAGACTTACTGTTTTTTTTGAAAAGCATATTCTCGCATATTGTTCAAGGAGGTAAACCAATTCGAGATCATCCGTGGAATGTGAATTAGTCATAAACTCTACATCTTTGGACTGTGTTTTTCTGCGTTAGTTAAAGAAAGCGGTACGAAGACCATTTATTAATGTAGGCTTTATTAGAAAAGGCACAAAGCCTATAATATATATGAAAGATAGAATTAAGAACTGAAAAGCAAATAATAATCCGAAGGGTGTGAGGGAGTAGCCGTTTCGCTTCGATAATTACATTATCTGAGTGATTCATTCCCTCGAAGATGAATTTGCGTCCTGATCTAGCCAATGGCATCTCTACGTGCATGCTGGTTCATCGGTTTGGGATTAGCATGCCTACAAGGCTACTTCTAAGTTCTCAGTAGCAGTGTGTTTGCTACTTATACCTCTTTTGCTTTCCCGCGGGTTATTTAAATTGACTTTTAATACATTTAGCCATGGCCGAAAGTCAAAATCAATAAATGATTTCTTTAAAATACAACACGTGGACAGTGAATTACTTGAACATGCCCGAAATCGTTGCTCGTTGCACTAATGTTCTAGACTTGCATAAATCCAAACAGTAACCATATATGATACGAATATTTTGTCTTTATCTCAGTTACATTTGGAAATCAGACCGATATAGTGTATAAAGAATGAACTCTGAGATGTGTGAATTGAGTGGATTTAAGTTTATTATTGTTGGCTGCAAATATAGACATATAGCTCTATAAAAGCATAAATGGACAAATAAATTTACTTGTAAGTTTTTTTTCTCCTCAAAGCGTTAATGCAAACCTTTGTCTTTAAAAATCGGTAACTTGTGTGGTTTTCACCCAGTTGACTTCAAAGATCACCTTAAACCACGTTGCACTCTTTCAAAGCACGGAGATTACTTTTTTTCGATATTCCAACAAAAGAATGAAAAGCAAATTCTCGTTATTAGAGCGGAGGCTTCCTGTAGTTCAAATGGTATTTGGTACAACAGTTTTTAAGAAGAATTTATGGACTGTTTTTTCTCAATGCTTCAGGGATGAAAATAAGAAAGCAAAATGTTAATTCTGTCTAACGGAAATTTTCATGACTTTTTATAGTTACATTTTCTCCTTGACATTTCAATGGTATTTACCTAGATTTATTTATTTCATTTATTAACCATCCCTAATTAAATCTAATCAATACTTCTATCTACAACATATAAACTGTTTAGGTCACTATCGGCACATCGACGTAGAGTACCATCTGCCAATGAAAAACCTGCTGCGTCTACTCTTGGTGGCCTGATTGGTCGACGGAAGGTCACATCATCGGATTCCACCTATTTGAGCCCAGTGACTTCGTTTTCTCAGCCCCGGACTGGCACATTGACACGAAGGCAGCAACACCAGCAGGAATCCCCAATTGATCGAAAATCCCAAATGGATTTGGCTAAATCCATTGAGAACCCAGAATGCCTGGCTAAACCGGTCGTGTTTCTAGAATATGGCGATTTATGATTAAACAATACTTGATTAGTGTACATAACGCTAGTATCACATTGACGCTCTCATGTAAACATCATGTACATTTTCTCACTCCCCCTCTTATCTCATTGTGATTCATCTTAATTTCTCCCTTTCGACTACCATCCGCATTCCTTGAACATATCTCGAACGACTGCATTTCGATGCCATTATCTCGTCAATCCCCACATCGACGCACACTAAAACGCTTATATCTGATTAAAAAGGGATTAAATGTCTTTTGGATGCGATATTTTGCCCGCTATAAAGCGCTCTCTTTACCTAAACTTTACATCCGATTAAAATTCGTAGTGGAATGACCTAATGCCGAAGATAAAATAGGACATTTAATCCATATTTACTGATGGAGAACCAAGTAGTGGATCCGTTCTGGATTATTGCCCATTCCCCTTCAAGTATAAACACGTCTTAATAAAGGAAAGTATCAGAACAAGAGAGGATATAAGAAATTCATGAAGCATTCAGTTGTCCATGTTTGCATCTGGTGTGCCAAATCATTATACTCCCACATTTCAGGCCTTGCTACAAACATGATTTGGCTCTCTGATTGGCTTCGTCTCCTCGGTTAATTTACGCTTTGACCCAGGATCATGAGATAAGACTGGGAAAGCTAGTTTTTACTTAACAGAGACTAAAGACAATTCCATAAATGGTTCATTTATACTGCTACTGACTTAGCTGCTAGTACTGTTAGATCAAAAATCGAGTAGGATCCAACAAGCATGCAAAGGAGAGGAAGTTGACTCCCTTACACTTTGTGTTGCCGAATGTGTACCTTCATTAAACTAAACGGAGAAAACTGTTCCATGATTACATACTTGGGAACCAAATACTGCAATTCCAAGATGAAAAAGAATGCTGAAATGCAGAAAAAGGTTAACCACGAAGTTGCAAACGTCTTTTGCGTTAATATGCAGGAATTTGAAGACCATGCATTCTATTTTTGTAGCATTATATATAACTGAAGCGGTTATTGACACCTGATCTCTCTTTAAATTGTCAAATTTCTGCCGAAGCTAGTATTTAAAAAGTAACTAGTTTCCTTCTATGGGAGATTTTCAATTTACACAATGCCAGATCTTTATACGGGCTCTAAGATGCATCTGAGTGTTAGACTGCAAGGCGCACCTTTGAAATGATTGAACATCCAAACATCCCAACCTTTAAACTGCCAGTTCCATTTTACTCCAAAGTCTAAAGACAGGAATGTGCCTACGGTAAGTCAACTTCGGAGTAAAAAATTGTCTTGGAGTCTGTTTCCCATCATTCTAACTCATACTAAAGGGAGAAAGGAAAACGAAATTTTGATTCAACTGCGAGACAGAGGAAACTGTGATAAATGACGCACCAACAATGCTTTATATAAGCCATTTTGAGTTTTTTTAATAGACCTGTTAAAGTTATTGAAATTCCTCGCTATGGCTAGAGGTAGTAAGAGAGAGAGAAGCTAACTCTTACAAAGCTTATGAGATTTTGAATGATCATCTGTGAAATTTTATGGTACATCAAAATTCTAGATGAAGCGCTTTCGAACATTCTGTAATCACTTATATTATTTCAAAAGTCATATTTGAGATTCGAATAACTAAAAGGACATGGAAAGACACCGTGCACTTGAGTGCTGCACTTATGCACTTCATAAGCCTGCAATGGTCTTTTGGATATCCGCAGATAAAGCTGTCTATTAATTGCTCTATCCTAGTAGAAACACCTAGAAAATAAACATTTAGCAGGAAAAGGGACCAAATATTTTCAATACGGCGTTAACAGGCTGAACTAGTTGTAAATCGAGTTATTGATTATTTGGTTTCTGTGCCAACCCAGGACATGAAAGCTGACCACTGCTGTAGTTATTGAGTAATCAGGTGTCCAACGCTTTCCGATTATCGATACCTCATTAAACCCGGTCGTTTGGGCTGCCTGTCATTTAATTTCTTTCGCTTTACTCCTAGCATTGGCTGTCGTGGCTATTTATCGGCGGACAGTCATTTACATATAAAGATCAAGAAACCCCTAAGTGCCTATTAACTTAATAATAATTGTAATGAATAATTTGTAATTGCTATCAGTAAATATTTTCGCACATTTTCTCCCTTAGCCCAGTCTGAACTATTAAAGCATATAAATAAATTCCATGAAACTCCCAATGTTATTGTGAAAGTCACGATGCGAAGGTTGTTTAGTTTAACGGATGGAACAATCTTTAGAAAAAAACACAGGCTCCTAAATGTCGACTTACCGAACCTCAAAAACGACTTTTCAAGGGTACACACTGGCTAGGTAATCGACCTTTTTCAGTATTGTTGCTGGCCCACATATTCACTTTCAAATGTAGTAAAAAATTTAATAATTTTTATCCAACACTGAGAGTCTAAAAATACTTCACATTTCGATGTTAAAATCTGTGCCTACTGAGGGGAAATTAATATGTGGATAAATTGTTTCTTTCATTTTGTTTACTGAAAATTGAACAGCATATGTCAAATTAAAAAATGCAATAAATTATTGACAATATCAGTTATCATCCTTAACGAGGCTGAAAGAAACCAGGATCAAGTTGAATTATCACCAAGTAGACATTATTGACAGTACTCAAAGTGGGGTACATTTATTGAGTTATACATAGAGTATAGGATTGGGGGAAATATTCCAGCCGCCTCCCTACCGTTTTTTCCTACAACTTAAATTAATTGAACAATATGCTAACTAATAGCTAAAGAGAAATGATCTCCGTTGCGTTAATAGAAGTTTTCAGCTCGAAGTCGAAGCTATGTTTGGCGATAATCTCACGCCTTGCCATTATCAGTCATCTCAACTAACCCCATGCAAAATTTAAATTGCATAAAAGCATTAGACCTAACTTGATTGTGATATTCATGAACACTTGCAATTGCTTCCGTAAAAAGGCTTAATTCAAAAAACCAAGCTATTTATAATAATATAGATACGATCATGCTGGTAAAAATCCTTAATTTATTTAATGACTTCTGGGGAATTATGGATAAAGTATGGAAAGAAAATCTAGATCGCACATCCACTTTGAATTAAATAAGAAATATTTCTTCCTTTCACTATTTTATCCGTCTTTTTACTTGGATTGAAATTATTTTCAATATAATCAATTTGTTCGGATGCCTCCAGTCTTACTTGAGAATCTTTTTTACCTTCTGCCTGGTGTAACTTCCATTTGGACAGAAGATCAGATAACGGAGTCCTTCCGTTAAGGCAAAAATTTAAGTTTCTCTGTCAGTTTACTAAGCAATACTTGTGAACGTGATTTGATATTGCAATAACTGAGTATCGATCTCTCTAGCCAATGACATCTTGCAATTTATATCAGAGGGAAAAATTTCATAAAGTCCAATTAACCCGAAATATGTAGACATAAAAGATACGACGTGAATTGGAAGGTACACGAATTTTCATGTTGAATTAGCTGGTGGGAAGGAAGATTGTCACGTAAATATTACAGTTTAGGAAGATTTCTGGTGAGTTTGACCGTCTTGACATCAAATTCTCTACTGCATTCTGTTTAGTAAAATAATCGATTCGGAGCATAAACAGTCCCAAATTGAAATGGATTAGAACTCTATCGGACGCCAATTCAATTTTATTCGCAATTTCATAACTGCCATTTTCGGGGTGATATTCGGAGAGAATACGCCACCTGTACAAATTTTACAACTAGTGTTGATAATCTCACAAATCATTCCAGTGAATCAGCGATGAGAGCTAAAACCGCGCGTGTGCGCGCTCTCTCTCTCTCTCCCTATGTTGTGCTTCTGAAAGAAGCGGTGGTTTGCATTTCTCCGCAATTCCGCAAACCATCATTCTTATGTCCATTCATTTGTTTATTTTTTCCCTATGCTGGAATGAAAATAATCGATTTTATTGTGAGGCAATTATGAAAAAATAGCGAATAAATCACCAACTCTATGCCATCCATTTCCTCTTTAATATTGCTTATCATTCAGCAACTTATTAAATGCCCTTCTTTTTGAGCGTAAACCCGGATTGACTGAAATGATCCCTTGAATGCTGATCGCCATTAATGCTTTATAAACATTGAATGTCCATGCTAGTGGGATGAAAGCTCGGAGTACCTTCTTTGAGATTTGTAGTTTACGCAATTATGAAAGTAAACATTTGTTATCCCTTACAACTGTCAGCTCTTCTTGCCTTTCTACACCTCAGATTATTAAATTCTCTAATAGGCAATATCTCCTAGTTGCTATTACCTGTTAATTTGTGACTGTAACGCTTATGTATCTCTCTGTAATGCAATCTCGATGTATACCTAATTGAACTTCAATAATCAATTAGCCGATTCGTAAGCGTTGAATTTCGAACATTTATTCACACACATGAATCTGAGAAGTACATTATGAAACTAATAATGTCATTACTACGCAGTAATTATGCACCGTATGAGAAAAGGAACTATATTATACTTCCGGAATTCAGGAAAAGTAAGAATCTTGATTGCACGTCTTCATCGCCGTCTTCCTCTCTCCTTTTCTTGCCTTCTTAAACTTATCTGGTTCCCATCTCTTGTTGCGATGCTTTTCATAGTTAAATTCCAAAATTTCTTTGCAATGGATATAATAAATTAATAGTTATTTCATTCAAAGAAATATGGTCCCATTATTTTAGTGTTAATTATTTATCATTATTATTGTTAGTAATATTATTACTATCTATAACATTAATCTAGTATTTCTCAAGAACTGTTTAGCCCATCATATATACATTCTCCGCAGTTAATGAAGAGATCCTTTAGAAAAAAATTGATTTTTGCATATTGGAAGGAATATTTCTATATTTACGCTTTTAACCAAGCGGTATTTTCTCGATCTTTAAAAAATTTTCAGCTATTGGCCCTTAGGCACTTAAAGAAACATCGAAAATCCGAATTCGATCATCTTAAGTATATACCATGGATAGTGACAGGTATCAGAAAAGTAGATTTTTTG